GCTAAAATCCTCGCCTTGAATGCGCCAGGATCCCGTATGGGCACCGGTTCTAATTCCGGCAGCTCCACTTCCCATCCAGCTCCCTGCTTGTGGCCTGGGAAAACGGTTGAGGACGACCCAAGGCCTTGGGACCCTGCACCCGCATGGGAGACCTGAAGGAGGTTCCTGGCTCCTGGCTCCGGATTGGCGTAGCACCAGTCACTGCGCTCACTTGGGGAGTGAATCATCGGACGAAAAATCTTCCTGTCTCTCCTCCTCTCTGTATATCCAACTTTGTAATAAAAAAAAAAAAAAAAAAAAAAAAAGCCAATGGATGATCAAGAACATATAGTCACTAACACTCATAAAACAAGGACAAGGCGAGCTCTGAGTCAACAAGTCCTACAAGGTCATCTCACAGGAAACCTCCCAGAGTAGAAAGTCTGAAGTTGGTTTTGGAAACAAAACAGAAGATTTAATCTCATCTCTTTAATTCTAGAATTAATTATATATAACACAAGGAAGCTGCTTTTCTCTTTCTGTTAGCTAATTTTTTAGTCTTACTGGACTCAACAGCTTTCTACCAGTCTGTCTGAACCAGTTTGCATTTAGACCTTTATAAGCTTCAAGGAGATTATATGGAAGAGATCTAGGCATTCTAGGTACCCAAGCCTTAGTACCAATGCTGAAATTTCCTCCACAGCCTATGGACATGCTCAAGGATATATCTGTGGCAGAGAAGGTTCAGCAGTCTCTGGCCCATCCGGGCACACCTGTCAGCGCCAGCTTCCCTGCTAATGCCAATGTGTCCGAGAGGCAGTGAGTGACGGCTCAAAGCACACTGGATCCCTGCTGGTGGGAGTTTGTACCTACCTTCTCCTGGCTCAGCCCCAGCTGCTGCAGCCATGTGGGGAGTCAACCAGAAGACAGATTTCTCTGTCACTGTCTTTCAAATAAACAAATGAATCTTTTAAAAAAATCAGGCCCGGGGCCCGGCGCGGTGGCGCAAGTGGTTAAAGGTCCTCGCCTCGCACGCCCGGGATCCCACATGGGCGCCGGTTCTAATCCCGGCAGCCCCGCTTCCCTTCCAGCTCCCTGCCTGTGGCCTGGGAAAGCAGTCGAGGACAGCCCAAAGCTTTGGGAACCTGCACCCGCGTGGGAGACCCGGAAGAGGCTCCTGGCTTCGGACCGGCATAGTATCGGCCCGTTGCGCTCACTTGGGGAGTGAATCATCGGACGGAAGATCTTCCTCTCTGTCTCTCCTCTCTGTATATCCGCCTTTCCAATGAAAAAATAATAAAAATAAATCTTTAAAAGTAAAAAAAAAAAAAAAAAATCAGGCCCGGCATCAAGGTTTGATTGGCTAATCCTCCAGCTTCGAGAGCCAGTATCCTATATGGATGCTAGTTCATGTCCTGGCTGCTCTATTTCCCATCCAGCTCCCTGCTCTGGCCTAGGAAAGCAGCAGAGGATGGCTCAAGGTCTTGGGACCCTGGGTACCCCCGTGGGAGACCAGAAAGAGGCTCCAGGCTTTGGATCAGCTCAGCTCTAGCTGTTGTGGCCATCTGGGCAATGAACCGGCTGAGGGAAGATCTTCCTCTCTTTCTCTCTGTAAATATGTAAATAAAAATAAATAAATCTTTTTTTAAAAAAGGGCAAATATTATAGCATCCATTTATACGAAATGTCTAAATTGGAAAAGAGACACAGAAAACACAGCAATGGTTGACTGGGATGAGTGGGAGAGTAGCGATAAGACAGAAATGGACAGTGAAAGTGGCTTGCTAACGTATCTGAAGTTTCTTTCCGGAGGCAGTAGAGATGACGGCCGTCGCACTGTTCTGTGAGCGCGCCATGCTATGTACATTCTGAGGACCAAGCACGGTATAGAAACTGGTGAGTTATATGACAGGAATCTAATCTCAGTAAAGCTACGTTTATAAAAAGAAAAAAAAAGAGCAAATCCAATTATAAATTATTCAGCTGACAAAACACCATTTGTTCTCTCAAGGAAAACTACTTCCGCATTCCAGAAATTTCACAAGTCATGCCTATTGGAATCTCCATTTTCTTCTTATTATCCTAATTAAGACAATAATTCTGACATGTATTTTTTTGAAATAAGCTGGATTTCTTCTCCCTGGAATAACCATTCTCCAGGGAAGTGACCACACTCCACAGAGGCACTCCCAGGCACACGGCATGCATGAGGCATTTCACAAAACCTCAAACTAGGAAATGAAGACCCAGGACAGTCTTATCTTTTTGGTGATATTTAAATGTATCAATGTGAATAATCTGTGGGTCTTCCTTTTTAGCAAAAAACATTTATTTTAGTAAAAACAAAACAAAAACATAATTAGACCTAGCTTTGCAATGATCCTCTCAACAGAAAGGCAACTATTTAAAAGTGAGATGTTCTTTTAAAACAAGAAAGGAAAGAAGGAAGGAAGGAACACAGATCAGAGGTCTGACAGATCTGATCATTTTATTATTGCAAGAGAGTCATCAAACACGGAAACAATTCCTCTGAATATACAGGTAACTTGTGTTTAGTGAAATGCTCAATGTTACTTATAAAAAAATAAACTATAATCATTACAGTCTCAGGGGTCAGTGTCGTGACACTGTCCAACTCACAGCTGTCCCACGTGAGTGACAGGGAAGAAAACCCTGGCTCCATCACTTCCCGCAGCTCCCTGAGAAAGGCCTGGAGAAGCAGCAAGGAGAGGGCAAGTGCGTGGGCCCCTGCACCCACGCGGGACACCTGGAAAGAAGCTGCTCTTTCTCTCCTCTCTAGCTCTGCATTTAAAGTAAATAAATAAGTCTTAAAAAAAAAAGTAACAAACTCAGGATTGAATCCTGGCCAGCAAGATTTCAGTTAATACTGGTCAGAAGCTGGAAGCAAGCAACTGTGTTCACAGTGAAACTTGGGGGAGGGGCAGTGAGCGCTCGGAACGGCACAGGACCCTGGAACCCTAAGCTAAGTAAGCACTGGTCGTCCACTACCAGAGAGATGGCTAATTAAAAGTGGGTTTACTCCAGTCCTAAAGCATAAACTTTGGCTTTTTATAGTCTAAGCAGTGTGCTATTTTAAACATGGGGAGGAAATGCATTTTCAGTTACAAATATTTGCTCCTCTGAATCTGTTCTTGTTAGCAAAAGACGTGAACAGGATGTTTTACTCTTATTCTGGTTTTCCTGTATTGCTTAAATCTGTTTAGAGAAAAGGAAAATAAACAAATAAAACGTTCCTGCTAACAATTTCTAAACTGAAGTTGCTTCCTACAGAAATAACTTTTTAAAAATATAGATTATCCCTCTATTTTCTTCCCTGGAAGACTTTGTGGGCCTTGAACGTGGAGTCTGCAGCCAGTTCTCTTGTCCTTATCTCTTCCTAAGAATAATTAGGACTGTAAAAGCTTTGGGAGAGGCACACCAGAAAAAAAAAAACACACTGACCTTCAAGGCCTTTCTGGGTTTATTCAGAAATTCCAGGCATACCATATCATAATTAAACGCTCCCCCACTCTCATATACAACTGTGAGGACTTGGGCACTCTGCCACTTTGCAAATCTGTTAACGCTCTAACATGGCTTTCAAAGAAAGTGGTTCTGTCAAATTCCATGTTTCCCCCTTTGTAAGGAAGTCAGCAGTTCATTAATCTTGTGGAAATGCTTCAGTTGAAGAGCTCCCGGGAAGAGGTCCTAACTGCAGATCCCGACTGTCCCAGGAGCTTCCCTGGACGCACAGCCCAACAGACTCTCCTTGACCCTGTATGCCTCCTCCTCCTGGCTGGGCCTCCACCCAGAGCTCCGTCCCTGCTGGGCCCGCACAGGTCTTTCACCAGAACTCTTCTGAACCAGTTCAGAGAATCCTCTCTCCCTTGATGTCTCACCACCCCTAGCCTGCCTTCAGCAAGAAACCTGACAAGCAGGTTTGCCAACAATCTCCCTTTTTGCCACCCTTAGTAATTTTCCATTCATGGATTTCCCCCAACACCCACCCCTAGTTTTGCCACAGCTAACCAGCTATCTTTGGAGTTGAGACTTCCCCCAACTAGAGACGGCTTGGCAACCACTGCAACGGCCTTCCTTACTTTTAATAAAGACAGATAATTTCTTCCTTAACAATTCTGTGGTGAGTAGAGTATACTGAAGAGCTTAGAGGGAGGGAGCCGGGTGGGGAGGAAGGGAGGGAGAGAGGGAATCTGAGTATTTTATTCCCTTGGGAAGGTCCACTGCTCGACTCAGCTGCTGAAGCTCATTCCACAGAAGCTTGGCTTCCACTGCCACCACCTGCTCCCTCCCGCCCTCAGGCCTCTGGCTGCCGTGGAGTCCACCAGCAGTAGTCCTAGGAGTGCCATGCCATCACTGCGGCTTTCTATCACTTTGCGAGTTTTCCCTGATGGGATCCTAATTTGAGGGCACCACCTGTTTTTTGTGGAGTTTCCCCAAAAGAAAAAAAAAAAAAAAAAAAAAAGGAGGGCCCAGCTCGGTGGCCTAGCGCCTAAAGTCCTCACCCATATGGGTACCAGCTCTAATCCCGGCAGCTCTGCTTCCCATCCAGCTCCCTGCTTGTGGCCTGGGAAAGCAGTTGAGGACAGCCCAAAGCCTTAGGACTGTCCTAGTTTCAGATCAGCTTAGCTCTGGCCATTGTGGTCACTTCAGGAATATGCCAGCAGCTGGAAGATCTTTCTCTTTGTATATCTGCCTTTCCAATAAAAATAAATATTTAAAATTTTAAAAGTCCTGGTGAACTATTAGTGCTATTTTCATTTATATTCTGATGTGTAATGTTTCCATGTTCAACTCTGGTGCATGCTATAAATCACCACTTCTTTGGGACTGAAATCAAATGCGATATCTATAACTGCTTTTCCTTTACATCTTCGCCTTGCTAAACATTTCAGCAGTGTACCCTGCTTTCTGGAATGCTGATCCTTGCAAGGACACAGCTCTTCTCACACACTCAGAGCCTTGGGACTGACAGCCAGCCCGTGGGACTGACTGGTACTCACCCCGAGCCAGCAGGGAGGGACAGCGCCGTGGACGGGGCGTTCGCCTGTGGCCGGTCTCTCTCATTCTGCTTCAAGAAGGATTTGGCTTCTTTTGATTTAGCATCCACTTCCTTAGTAACCCTGCGGCAAGAAATGTGGCACCAAGTTTACAAACGGAATACAGAAATAAAATCTAAGAGACAAACTGACAGCTAGAGAATATGTACCAAGTTTTTAATAAATTCTGGATGTCAAGCTTTACGACCACTGCTTACTACAAATGTCTCCAAGAAATGTGTGGCCCTAAAATGAACACACACACCATGGAGCCACTCCCTCCCTAAGCCCCCAGGTGTGGCATCCGTCAGCAGGGGGCATGCTGCCACCTCACTGAGGTCAGTGCTTGGGTCTCAAGTCCAGGGAAGGCCGAAATGTGGGCAGCACTCCTTAGCTGCAGCTTCCTGCTAACAGAGGCCACAGGGATGGCTCACACAACTGGGAAACCTGGAGTCCCCAGCCCCCAGGCTCCGCCTGCCTCTGCGCAGTGAATCCAAGCTCATTTCCCAGCTGTCCTCGCTTTCCCAAAGAAAAACAGTGGGGGCTGGGAGAGGATTCTATACTTGAAAAGACTGCCAAGTTAATGTTGAAAGGTGACTTAAAAAAATTACTGTTACTCCCCATTCAAGTTCTTATAATGGCTCAGAATTACTCAGAGAATCAGATATAAGCTACTAAACCTTGGCTAAATCAAGGCTTTCCAATATCTGATCCTCACACATTTAGCTCAATCTCTAGATTCCTCCACACTCCAAAATTTCAGTAAGAGTAAAAAAACAAGATCCAAACCCTACTGAATAATGGTAAATACATTTATAGAGATAAAACTGTGCAAGGTTGATGAAGAGCATAACAGAAAATACCAAGCCAAATTTTCTGAAACTAAAAAGCAAACAGACAAGTAATGATTGGCTGGTTTTGGTTTTCTCTGGCATTATAAACTTGCAGCTATGCAGAATGGCCAACAAGCCAGCCAGCTGGGACCCTAGGTAAGCTCATTTTACATGGAAACATCAGGAACCTCGGAAGGCTAGGTCTAAAAGAAATTTAAAGTTGGTATCGGGGTTTTTCTTTTTAAACTCAGGATCTACCAACATGGGCCTCACACCATGAAGAAGGCAGGCCATCACTGGGAAGCACTAATGGGCTGGGCAGCCACCACCACGCCGGCCAGCACGTGCGCGGGGAGATGACCATCATCTGCAGCAAGCAGCAGGACCACAGGCCGTCACGCACGTGGGGAAGCAGCTCCAGAGAGGCAACTCCTCAAGCCACAGGCAGAGAGCAGGAGAGACAACTACATCTCAGCCTTGGGCCAGCTGAGTGTCCAAGGGGATCCGAACCTAAGGAAAGGCTGAAGGAAGCTTCTGGACTTTGGCACTCTCTCCAAGCTGCCAATCACTCAGCCTACTGCTGGGCTCAACTTCAGACACCACAGGGAGCCTCTTAACCTTTCTAATTTGCTGTCATATTTTCAACAAACCTGGGTCAACAACAATGATAAACAAGCAGCCCCAGCCCCAAGCTCCTTTGTCACTACCCTCACGCTCACCTCCCTGGAGGCAAGCACAGCAGGCCCGTAACTCCTTAAAGAAACCACAACAACAGAAGCTCCAGTCTCACAAGGGGCAGTGTCAAGTTTTAAAATAATACATTTTCTTAAATTTTTAAAAATCTTTATTTATTCTTTGAAAGGCAGAGTTCGTATCGGAGGGAGCATGGAGAAAGCATGACTTGTGGTCATCCCTAACTTCACCTCAGTATTATTCACATTTCTCTTACGGACTTCGGTAACTGACATACTACCCTCCATTTCTAGGATGTCTAGAAAACCTTTAAACCAGCAGTAAGAAACCGAGATGGTAAAATCCTTCCTGTTGGAGAAGAGCTGTACTTAGACCACCTCCAATACACAAGCGGCAAGCCTGAGGTCTGGGAAAGAGCTGTTATTAGTGAGAGATAATTCAAGTGCTCTCAAGTAGAAAATCCACTTTAACTTCATTTTCACTTACTCAGAACTTCCTGAAACATCTGACTTTGGATAGGTATTTTCCATGACCAGCCTTTTCCAAAAGATGAATCACTTAGGAAAATCTGAGCTAAGTGGCTCAGCAGGTTATATATCTTCATTCCTCAGAGTTAGTAAGATCTTCATGTTTTCAATGTGTGGGTGTGGAGAACAAACAAACCAGCAAAAATTGTAAAATTAACAAGTGAAATGCAGTTGGAAGAACAGGAAGACTGGCTTTGTACTAACACGACCTTACGCTATACTCACAAATCCTTCCCATTCAGCACTAACGCCCGCACTTCTTAAAGATGCAGTAATGTTCCGAACTTGACATAAAGCCAAAATGGCAAAACGGTGACATCATAAATATAAAGCACATTTCATTCAAATCCACACACCAAATTTGTACCTGCTGTCACACAAAATTAAGAATCTAAGTCTCTCATGAAGGTTCCTCATAACATCTAAATTTAAATATTAATAATTTAGGTTACACAAAAAAAGCCTGTCCAAAGGCAAGGGACGAACAGGGTTTTGTTTTCTCCGCAAGGAAAGGGGAGCTTTGTCTCTAATCACATTATAGATCTCTATAATATGCGATCCTTTAAAATAAGTAACAGATTGACTTGTATTGCTTCTCGGCCTTTTGGCTAAGACCAAGTGTAACATAAACTGTATCTAAGCACATGAAATTTATGCAGATTGCTCCCAAACCTTCTAGAGGATGGTGCTGCCCTCTACTGTCAAATAATGGAAATAGCAGGTCCCTGAACAAACACCCAACCAGTAGTACCACAGATTAGGTTTTTTGGTTTGCTTGCTTGTTTTTAAAGATTTATTTATCTTTATCGAAAAGGAAGATTTTACAGAGGACACAGAGAGAAAGATCCTACATCCACTGGATCACTACCCAAATGGCAGCAATGACCAGAGCTGAGCCCATGCAAAGGAGTTTTTTTTTAATGTAAAGATTTATTTATTTTTATTGGCAAATCAGATATACAAAGAGAAGGAGAGACAGAGAAGCTCTTTGTCCACCGATTCACTCCCCAAGCGGCCACAATAGCCAGAGCTGAGCCAATCCAAAGCCAGGAGCCAGGAGCTTCTTCTGGGTCTCCCACACAGGTGTAGGGTCCCGAAGCTTTGGACCATCACCGACTACATTCCCAGGCTACAAGCAGGGAGCTGGATGGGGAGCTGCGCCAGCAGGATTAGAACTGGTGCCCATATGGAATCCTGGCGCATTCAAAGCAAGGACTTTAACTGCTACGCTATCGCGTCAGGCCCAATTTCTGAAAAGTTTTAAAGCTCTGTTTCTCATGTTGTATCAGCACACTTTTGATACTGCATCCTACAAAGCTACCAAAACCACAGTTTCCATTTGGGTTCTGCTACTCTCAGAACTCAGTAGTTCCCAGTGATGCCTGAGGGTGAAATACAGAGCACATTATTAATTCACATCAATGGATCTCAGAAGCGACTGCCATGAAAAAGGGAGTAACAATAGAGAATTCTCTCACTGCTGGCTCACTGCCCAAGTGGCCACCCACAATGGCCAGAGCTGAGGCAATGTAAAGCCAGAGCTTCCTCTGGGTCTCCCACACGGGTGCAGGGTCCTAAGGCTTTCATTCTTGATGCTTTCCCAGGCCACAAGGGAGCTGGAAGGGAAGTGGAGCAGGTTGGACTCAAACTGGCACCCATATAGGATCCCAGCTCTAACAACAAGAGGACTTAGCCATCAGCCACCATGCCTGCCAGGCCTTGCATTTGGTCTTTTAAGCGTCCAGAGCAGCAGTGCTGTGGAATATCCCTCAGTTTGCGCTGTGCATCATTCCCTCATGCTCAGCTTGGCAGTGATAATAGAAGACAGCAGCGCTTGGTCCTCCAGTGTGGGTGACAAATTAGACCAGGCAGTGAGAGAATTCTCTATTGTTACTCCCTTTTTCATGGCAGTCGCTTCTGAGATCCATTGATGTGAATTAATAATGTGCTCTGTATTTCACCCTCAGGCATCACTGGGAACTACTGAGTTCTGAGAGTAGCAGAACCCAAATGGAAACTGTGTGGTTTTGGTAGCTTTGTAGGATGCAGTATCAAAAGTGTGCTGATACAACATGAGAAACAGAGCTTTAAAACTTTTCAGAAATTGGGCCTGACGCGATAGCGTAGCAGTTAAAGATTTTACAGAGGACACAGAGAGAAAGATCTTCCTCTCTGTCTCTCCTCCTCTCTGTATTATCTGATTTTGCAATTTAAAAAAAAAAAACCTCACTGGATGTTTCTGTAAAAAACCCATCTCTTCTGAAGGCAGTAGGAGCAAGAACGTACCGGACCCCAGAGGTCGCCCCCAAATTCTGAAACCTACAAACAGCACGCTAGTTTTCTCCGTGCTCCTTCACTCTGACTTTGGTCTCCACAATGCCAGGTTCAAAGCACAGGAACGTCTTTGCAGAGGTGTTTTGCGTGATGAAACGTCAGTGGCATTTACACACAAAACATAAGTTTAAGATCAGAAAAAGTCTGGGTCCAGCATAATTGCTCAGTGGCTAAATCCTCACCTTGCATGCACTGGGATCTCATACGGGCTCTCGTGTGTCCCAGCTGCTCCACTCCCAGCCAGCTCCCTGCTTGTGGCCTGGGAAAGCAGTTGAGGATGGCCCAAAGCCTTGGGACCCTGCGGCCGTGTGGGAGACCAGGGGAAGGTCCCAGCTCCTGGCTTCACACCAGCTTAACTCTGGACACTGGCCGCCTGGGGAGTGAATCAGCAAATGGAAGATCTTTCTCCTTCTCTCTGTAAATCTGGCCCATAAGGTGAGGACTTAGCCACCTGGTTACTGCACCAGGCCCTTGTTCTACTTTGGATCCAGCTCCCTGGAAATGAACCCAGAAAAGCAGGAGATGGTCCAGGACCCTGGGTCTCCGACACCCAGTGGGGAGACCCCAATGACTTCCCAGCTCCTGGTTTCAGCCTGGCCCAACTGTGGCTATTTCAGGAACTGGTGAATGAGACAGAGGAAAGAAGATCTTTGTCTCTCCTTCACTGTGCCTGTCAAATAATAAAATCAAACTAAAAGTAACAGTTTCAAAGTTTGTGAAGGTTGTCTTACCTCACTTCTTCACCGGCAAAATCAAACACTTTGGTGATTTTAACCTTTTCTATTTCTTTAGGTTTCTCGAGCTCTTCTGCTTTTTCTGACAATTTACTTGAACCGGTCTGTTCAGTCTCCTCTCCTTTCTGTGAAAACAGCGAGAAGCCCATTAGTGTCACCGAGTAGGATGCACCGGGGCCTTCTAACTACGCTGGTGGCGGCCATCCTTTCTGTTTACCTCTAAGCCCTTACAGACTCACTGGGATGCATCCTATCAGAAAGGTGCCGCTTCCCGCACAGGGGAAGCCTTCTAAGGCATTTAGCCTGCCTTCTAAAGCACTGCAACCGTCAGCTTGCAAATAATACTGAAACAATGCAGGCCTTCCCGAAGGGCAGGCATTCAGGAACTCTTACCTGTGCCTGCGTGCTTGGGGGTGCTTTGGGCTTGGAACCCACATCGCTGAGGAAGCTGGCCCAGAGCTCATCCTCCTTTTTCCTCCTGGCAGCCTCAGAAGCAGCTCCTTTCTCCTGGTCCGCTGCCTCCTCTTCCTCCTCGCTGCTACTTCCTCCAGATTCTGCCTTGCCATCTTCCTCTTCGTCTTCCTCTAACAAGAGACCACCTTGTTTTCTCTTCCTAATCAGCGAAGTGACAAAGGAAAGACAAGACAATGTACGCAACTGCAGTTACTCTGTCCTCAATTTCACATGCTACCATGCAAATCTGAGAAAAATTTGTGACTGGGGACTATGGATACACATTTAAAGGAGAAACACAGGAGGAAGTCAACATCGATAGGGAACACACTGAGAACTGGGCTCTTACTGTCCGCATTTTCCCTCAATCCTTCAGAATCAAGAGTGCTCTAATTCCAGGCAGGATCAGTTATTTGCATGAAGACAACATTCAAAATCACCTGGCAGAATGACTCAGTCTAGAAATAGTGTTCTAAGAACATACATATGACAAATCATGTATTACTTTTTAAAAGGCTACTCCATTTGGAGAAAAAATTTTATTAAAAAGAGACTCAAATCTATTTCATACAGCAGTTTTCAGGGCAAAAAAGTTCAATGTTTCTTCAAACTTTGTAAAGAAATGAAAGCTGGAGGGTCCGGCAGGATGGCCTAGCAGCTAAAGTCCTCGCCTTGAACGCACCAGGATCCCATGTGGGCGCTGGTTCATATCCCAACAGCCCCACTTCCTAACCAGCTCCCTGCTTGTGGCCTGGGAAAGCAGTCGAGGACGGCCCAGAGCCTTGGGATCCTACACCTACGAGGGAGACCTGGAGGAAGTTCCTGGCTCCTGGTTTCAGATTGGCATAGCACCGGCCGTTGTGGTCACTTGGGGAGTGAATCATTGGATAGAAGATCTTCCTCTCTGTCTCTCCTCCTGTCTGTACATCTGACTTTGCAATAAAAATAAATAAATCTTAACAACAACAAAAAGATCTAGTATTCGTACACAAAGAACATGCGCCTCGTAAAGCCTAGGTGCGACCTAAGTGCTGTGCAGCGCCTCAGAACGAGCTCTGTAGGGACGCACAAAAGCTCGGCGCAGTTAAACCCTCGCCTTTTATGCAGCAGCATCCCACATGTGCGCTGGTTCCTGTCTCAGCTGCTGCACTCCCCGCCTGGTCCCTCCTTGCAGCCTGGGATGGGAGCAGAGGATGGCCCAACGCCTTGGAACCCCGCACTCATGTGGGCAACCTAGAGGATGTTTCTGGCTCCTGGCTTCGGATCACTTTAGTTCTGGTCCTTGTGGCTACTTAGGGAGCGAGCCAGAGGATGGAGGATCTTTTCAATAAAATAAAATCCTTGGGGAAAAAAAAAAAAGAGAGAGAGAGAGAGAGAAAGAATATACAGCGTGATACCGTCTCCAAGATCCGAAATAAGAAACGATATGCACAGTGCAACATCATATGCAGTTTCATCAAAAAGAAAGTAGGACATATATATAAGCAAACTTCACTGTCTTATAATCCCACTTCTCCACACTCTGTGCAGCTCTGGCCACGTGTGCTTGCACACACCCAGGGCGTGCCTCTGGCAGCACAGCCTCGCAAAGGCAAAGCCACAAGGGCTAGGAAAGGGTATATATTTTTGCAGGATTTTTTTTTTTCTTCCATCAATGTACCTATTACATACTTTTTTTTTTCTTTCGAATTAAGCTGAAAATCTTTTAAAGTTTCAGCAGACTAAGAATTTAGTACTAGAATATCAGCAAAGGTTTCCCTCAGGAAGACACTGGAAACCCTGCGAACAAGGAAATCCGTGTCCAGAGCAGACAGCAGCCCCGAGGGCAGGCCAGCAGCTCCAGCTCCAGCGCAGGGCTCGGGCCAGCTCACCTGGCTGCCACGCTGGCAGCGTTCCTTTTTCTCCCTTTGGTTTTCTGTGTCTGCTCTTCACCATCCACTTCATCCTCCTTCACTAATTCATTTACATCATCTTCGCTGTACTCTCCACCTGAAATCACACAACAGCACGGTTACACAGACAGGAATAAAGGCTTCCAAAACAGGACGAGACATTTTCATGAAGAAAAAAGCCTAGGGCCCAGCGCAATAGCCTAATGGCTAAATCCTTGCATTGCAAGCTCTGGGATCCCATATGGGGGCAGGTTCCTGCACCAGCTGTACCACTTCCCTTCCAGCTCCCTGCTTGAGGTCTGAGAAGGCCTTCAAGGGTGGTGCAAGGCCTTGGGACCCTGCACCTGCCTGGGAAATCTGGAAGAAGCTCCTGGCTCTTGGCTTCCAATTAGCTCAGCTCCAGCTCTTGCAGCTACTTGGAGAGTGAACTAGTGGAAGGAAAATCTTTGTCTCTCCTTCTCTGTAAATCTACTGTTCCAATAAAAATAAATCAATCTTTAAAATAAAAAAGCTTAGTATGTGCCCCTCCTCTCATTCTTGAGCTCTGCTTTCCTAGGCCACCAAAGCAGGCCATGTCTCCCTTCCCTTCCTTTATCCACACGTGCTCACTGCCCGAGAGTCCGCTATGCTCAGTACTCCCTGAGGACAGATTCACAGTGTCTGACTTCTGAAGTACTGGCTGAATATACGAGTCAATGGATGAATATAAATTCCAATCCTACTAATACAAAACTCAAACAAGAAATTATGGGTGCTGGTTCAAGTTCTGCCAGCTCCATTTCCCATCCAGCTCCCTGCTTGTGGCCTGGGAAAGCAGCTGAGGATGGCCCAAAGCCTTGGGGCCCAGCACCCGTGTGGGAGACCCAGAAGAAGCTCCTAGTTCCTAACTTAGGATCAGCACAATTTCAGTAGTTGTGGTCATCTGGAGAGTGAACCAAGGGGACTGAAGGTCTCTTTCTCTCTGCTGTTCGTTCTCTCTTAAAAAAAATTAGGGGCCTGGCATGGTAGCCTAGCAGCTAAATTCTTGCCTTGCACATGCCAGGATCCCATATGGGTGCCAATTCTAATTCAGGCAGCCCTGCTTTCCATCCAGCTCCCTGCTTGTGGCCTGGGAAAGCAGTTGAGGATGGTCCAAAGCCTTGGGACCCTGTGTCCATGTGGAAGACCAGAAAGAAGTTCCTGGCTTCAGATCAGTGCAGCTCCAGCCACTGCAGAAACCTGTGGAGTTAATCAATGGATGGAAGACCTTCCTCTCTGTATATCTGTCTTTCCAATAAAAATAAATAAAGCTTTAAAAACATGTACTTATTTATTGGAAAGTCAAGAGTTAAGAGAGAAAGGGTGAGACACAGAAAGGAAATCTTTATCCACTGGTTCACTATCCCAATGGCTGTGACAGCTGCACTGGGCCAGGCCTAAGCCAGGAGCTTCTCTCAAAACTCCCAGACGGTGGCAGGGGCCCAAGTACGTGGACCAGTGTCCACCGACTTTCCCAGGCCAGTGGCAGGGAGCTGGATTGGAAGCAGAGCAGGTGGGCCATGAATCAGTGTCCACATAGGATACCACCTTCACATGCAGCACCTCGATCCAGCATGCCGCAGCCGCATCTAATAGAAGTACAATATGTATTTACCCTTCAGTCCAGCAACCTCATTTTTTTTAAAGATTTATTAGTTTTTATTGGAAAGGCAGATTTAGAGAGAAGAAACAAAGATCATCCATCCGCAGGTTTACTCCCCAAGTGGCCACAACCCACAACAGTCAGAACTGAACAATCCGAAGGGATTGACACAGCAAATGAAAGTGAATTTCAAACAAATCTTAAAAAGAAACAAAAAGACATTCAAACAGTCAAGGAGCAGGACAGAACACAAAGATTTCAGATGATCATACTGAAAGCCCAATTTACTGAAATATTCTGGCAGATGACTGAGACAAGAGTTAAACTGGTAGAACACACGGGATCCAGAAAGGTGACAATTAACACCCAAAGGAGTGCAGGGGAAGTAATAGGTGAGCCACCCAATTCAGATAAGAACTCGTATTATCATTAAAATAACTGAACACTCAATGGGGTCTACAAAAAGACAAAGGTCTACCAATAGCAGGCTGGAGACCTGAGCTGGACTGCAAAGTGCAAGTTAAAAGTTGTAACTGTTACCAAAGGACTATGCTACTGTGATAATGTGAGGGGCAAGGATGGTGGCGGGGAACAGGAAGGAGAGAACCGGAGGGGTTAATGCACTACCTACTAAACCGCAGCTTGGAAAATAAAAACAATAAGGAGGGCCTAGCTCTGCGGGCTCCCGGCTTAGGACTGGGCAGCTCTGGTGCTGCAGCCGCTTAGCTGCTGGCTTCAGACCAGCTCAGCTCCGGCGCTTGCCGCCACTTGGGGAGTGAACCAGTGGATGGAAGATCTCCCTCTCTGTGTATCTGACTTTCCAATAAAAATAAATAAATCTTTAAAACACACACACACAAATTAACTTGAAAGAAAGAAAACGCGAGTTTCCCAAACAGATCTTTTAGAAACACTTGAATACGTCTAGGCAGGTGCTGCTGGATATTTGATGAAAAAGAGAATTAGTCTTCGATGACCATCCTGAGGAGGGGGGGGAGTGTCAAGGAGGTGACGGGGAGCCCGTGAGGGAGTGGGGTCAGGCGAATGTCCCCCCCTCGCCTCCCCAACATAACCCACAGGCTTAGGGGAGCAGCTGCCACGACTCTTGGGGTGAACCTCGCGGAGTGGCTACATCTGCATGGACACTTGGCACGAGTCCGCTCAGTCCGGGTAAACCGAGCGAGCGGAAGGGGCAGCTTTGTGTGTCCCCGTTTGATTCGTGACAGCGGCCCCCTCCCCATCAAAAAGGAGGGGTCCTTCTGAAGCAACCGGGAGGCGGCCCTCCCGCGCGCTCCTGACCCCCAGAGCCGTCGTGGCACCACGAGCTCCGACGTGCTGGTGCCCATCGACGTCTGTCTGGCAGCTGCTGTCCCCGGGGGCCGGCTGGCCGCCAGCTGCCCGGTTCCCGCGCTCGCCCGAGGGCCCTGCAGCTCAGGACGTGGCCCCCGCGCACACCGCGACACCCCCGGAGCCCCACGTGACGCGCGGGGCGGGGCCACTGGCCCGGCGCCTCCGACAGAATCGCTCACCCGACGGCACGTAGTCCTCGTCCTCCTCCGAGGTGGAGAAATCTTCGGAATCGAATTCCTCCATGTCGCTGCCGGTCGGGGCCGGCCAACCCGCAAGCCCGCAGCCAAGGCAGCCGAAGCAGGAGCGCCGACAGCCGCGGCCCCCACCCCGGCGATCCTCTAGGGAAACACCATAGAACAGAGGCGGCGGCGGGGACTGGGCCGGCCGGGCGGCGTGTGCGCATGCGCAGAAGGCTCTACGCTTGGGAACACCCGCTTCCGGTCGCTGCCTCTTGAGGCCCGTTAGGGAGCGCGGGCCCGCCCCGAAGCGGTGCATTCTGGGACCTGTAGTCCTAAGCGCTACCTACCCCTCCTGCTTGCTGGAGTCAACGTTTGCACTGAGAGCAAGTTACCCCCATTTATGGGATTACTGCTGGCTCTTAAGATTTCTGCGCTTGTCTTTTTTTTTTTTCTTTTAATTCAAGTATTCGTTCATAGTTCTTTAATTTCCAAATCGACAAGCCAGGCAATCCATGTGTGAGGCTGCCCTGGAAAGCGCCAGTCACCGCTGCTGTGCGGGACACAGCAATGGGTGCGTTTGTGGGTCCACGGAGTGACCGCTGGTCGGAACAGCTCGGTGGACGGCGTCGTCGTGAGGGTAAAGCCAGGACCTCTATGGCCGCCTGGGCCAGCGGCATGCTGGCTGGCTTTGCCCGACTCACACTGAAGCTGGCAAGCGAGGCTGCGTCCTCGGATCGACTTTAAAAAGCATGTGCAGAGTGTGATACTGGAGAAAAGCTGCGCGGAGAAGTAGGTTTTCAATGCCCACAAGACAGGCTTGTTTTACAAGGATGTCGGCAGAGGGACAAATGTAGCCCGCTTGTCCTGCGAAGGCCCAGACTTCAGACCATCCCACAACCAGGAAATCTTGTTGCAGAGCAAACCCCTCGTGATGAGCAGAGCCCAAGCTGCACAAGCAGCAGAGGAAGCGAGAAGCACAAACCACATGCTGGTCCACGAGAGGTGGAACAAGAAAGCATGGATATCGGGCTGATTCCGGAACACGAGGCCGAAAGACCTGTCAGAAGCATCCTGCATGACGTGTAAGTGGACAAGGCTTGGAGGACGTGGAGGAAGAGGACATTCCGGCAGCCCACCAATGAAGACCTGGACGAGATGGCAAAGCGCGGCAGGAACAGGGGTAGGAGCCAGCCCGAGACTCCTGGGATGCCAGAATGGAACTCTGCTCTGGCTGCAATTGCCACTGAGGAGTGTGCGAACCCTCTGCTGATGGCAGCCTCAGATCTGAGAGCCTCACCAGCCTTTGCCTTGTACTGACACATCAGTGAGCCTTGGGGGCAGAAAGCCAGGCCGACTGTGCTAGCCAATGGGCGGAATCCCGCCGACTTCATCAAGTAGACTGAGTGGAAATGCCGCCCCCTGCTCTAGGCTATAATCCCATCCCTCCCTCGCCCGGTTCACTTGGCGTTCACTTGGCGTAGGCCAAGCAGTTTAGGCCCACCTACAGCCCCATCCAAGGAACCTCGGTACGGAATTCCCAACCATTTGTGTCCATGGCTCAAGGCTACTAAGAAACTGTGAGCTTGCAGGCCAAATGGCCTATGTGACCTTTAGCACCGATGGGCTCCAATTCTCATGAATCAAGGCTCACCTAAGTCTGGTCATCTCACAGATGGCTCCAAGTAATTAAGTGGGTGCTTACCTTAGTTGCTGGAGGCCTGGGCTGTCCAGCCAAGATAGGTAGGGAATGTATGGTATTTCCCCCTTCACCTTGCAGGCTATTGTGGAATGCCCCTATAAAAGCCCTATGAATGTGCTGTTCCAGGCTGCACTCGTGTAAGGGGCGTTGGTCCTGGCCTGCTGGCTGGCCGGTCAGTCTGCTGCCTGCTCTCAACCAAGCACCCAGGCTTGGTCATGCCGAGCTTGAATAAGCCATCCTTGTGCACTCAGACGCCTGGTGATTTCTGGGGATCTCAAAATCTGGGTACAACACATCAACAGGAAGAGTGAATGGCTTTAGGAGAAATCGGTAATTACACATTGGTTACTTGGTAAGATTCATAGGGATGAGCTCTGCATTCTGCAACATAGATCTTTTTATTCACAGTGTCTACGACTTTGTCTAGAAAGTCACCTGAACACTGAATTAGCAAATGCTTTGGGAAAATACAGGGTTGGGCTCCTGCAAGCCTGCTGGTCACACTACTCAGTGATGCTCTGATAGGCTGTCATCCAGGCCCAGGGGAGACATGTTTGTGACCGCAAGGACATTACTGTGGCTCTACACTGGCAAGCATTTTTTAAGATTTTACTTATTTTTATTGGAAAGGCAGATTTACAGAGAGGAGAGGCAAAGATCTATCTGCTGATTCATTCCCCAAGTGGCCGCAATGGCCAGAGTTGAGCTAATCTGAAGCCAAGAGCCAGGAGCTTCCTTTGGGCCTCCCACCTGAGTGCAGAGTCCCATGGCTTTGGGCTGTCCTCCACTGCCTTCCGAGGCCACAAGCAGGGAGTCGGACAGCAAGTTGGGCTGACAAGACACAAACCCGTGCCCATATGAGATCCTGGTGCATGGAAGGCAAGAACTTTAGCCACTAGGCTAATGCGTGGGGCTTCCAGCAAACCTTTAAAGCGAATCCTACTGCAATATGGTTCAAACACTGTGATAATCTACCCTTTTGAGGTACACAATTATCACAGAACTGTGTGAGCAAAACCATGTCAATATCAGAACATTTTCATCACCCCTGAAGAAACCCAGTTTCACTAAGAGTCATCCCCACTTCTGTCCAATCACCAGCTTCTACAGATCTGTTTATTCTGGACATTTCAAGTCGGAGGAATTCTAGGATTGTAGAAGGACACTGTGATTATAGAAGGACAACAACATAGGATTACAATTGATAGGACAACCTTTGAGCGCAACTGATTGGACACCATTTGCGTAACTGACTGGATGTCATTTGTATGAGAACTGAATGGATATACATTTGAATGAAAACATTAGGTGGGATATACAAGACAAAAGCTAGGGACATTCTGCAACACAATCAAAGCAATTTACGAAAAATCCAATGCCAGCAGATCAAAAGGGGGCATGGAGAATGGGGAAAGGGTAGTCCCAGACTATACAAAATTGTATGATAGATTTCAAAAGTAAGAATTAAAAAAAGTTTAAAGAAAAAAGATAGTTCCAAACAAGGGTGTGGAAACAATTGATGGCTTCCATAGAGAGGTCTATGGGAACCATACAAGCTCAATACCTCCTCCCTTATCCTATGTGACCCTCAGCCTATAAAACTCTGATGCCATTCATAAACTTTGGCTATCTCACCAGGACAGGAGTCCATGCGTGTTATCTTCAGGCTCCCTGCACCAAGGGAGGCCATCACCGCAGGCCAGCAAGCAACATAGGATGTCATTTTTGTGACTGGACCCTTGCACTTAGTGCGGCATCTTGAAAGTTTCTCCCAGGTACATCCTAGTGCAAGTGCCCCATCATTTGCTAGCTGTTCCATCTCTTGAGGAGCTGCCAGCTTTTTCTTGGTCCTGCTCCTTCTCATGTTCTCACCAGTGGCATATGAAGGCTCCAGTTCCTCCATCCTTACCAACCCTGTTCTTAGCCATCTTCATGTGAAGCAGCATCTCATTGCCATGTAGATTTTCATTTTCCTGACAGTGCTATTGACATTATTAGATGTTTAATAAAATCATCAGACTTTAAAAAATGATTGGCAAGTCAAATCCAATTTAAAAACATATAATCCAGTGTGCAAGGGGTCTTTTAACAAGTTCATGGAGGGAGGCAGCACAATGACATAGTGGGCTCAGCTTCTGCCTTTGGTGTCAGCATCTAGAATGGGAACCAGTTCAAATCCCAGCTGCTCCACTTCAGATTTAGCTCCTTGCTATGGCCTGGGAAGGCAGTGGGGGGGGGGACTGCTCAAGTCCTTGGACCACTGCACCCACATGGGAGACTCATGGAGAGTGCTCACTTCAGACTGCATCAGCTCCAGCCACTGTGGTCAACTGGGGAGTGAACCAGTGGATGGAGGAGCTCTCCTCTGTAATTCTGCCTTTCAAATAAAAATAACAGTAAACCAACAAAAGTTTTACGCAAGGAACCAATGATGTTGCATGCTGGCCAAAGCTGCATCCCGTATGAATCCCATTTTCCGGCTACACAATCCAGCTCCATCACAGCCTGGAAAAAACAGTGGGGAGAGGTGGCCAAAGTGACCCCCCTGTCCTAACAAGGGAGACCAGGGTCAAATTCTTGCCTTCCAGACATGACCATTGCGGCTATTTGGGTACTGAACCAACAGTGGATAGAAGATCTACAACTTTTCACATAAATCTTTTAGGTTCATGAAAAAAAAAATGTGTATTGTGAAGAAACTGTGATTTTCTTTTAACTTTAAAAAAAAAATGTATGGGGCCCAGTGCAATAGCCTAGTGGCTAAGTCCTCTCTTTGCAAGCGCCTGGGATTCCATTTGGGCACTGGTTCTAATCCCGGCTGCTCCATTTCCCATCCAGCTCCCTGCTTGTGGCCTGGGAAAGCAGTAGAGGATGGCCCAAAGCCTTGGAACCCTGCACTCACATGGGAGACCCGGAAGAAGCACCTGGCTTCTTCAGCTAGAATGTGGTCATAAAAGAATTTAGAGAGATAAGATAGCCTACATTTGCAGGTTTCCTTGAAAAACTAGATAATCTGGCAACAGAAGGTTAAGTCCCAAGAAGTAAAAAAATCGGGAGCTGGCACGGTGGCCTAGTGGCTCCAGATCAGCGCAGCACCAGCACCAGCCATTGCAGTCACTTGGGGAGTGAATCATCAGACGAAAGATCTTCCTCTATGTAAAAAACTGGAACCAAGAGACAGCTGGCCAGGGTGTTAATCTCCCAACTACACTTAAAGCCTCCTGGTTCACTATTAATCTGTTGCCTTGTTAATAATTTAGGGTCTTCCATGGCAACCTGTTACCTTCTGTATTCTTTTCCACTCTTCTTTTTTATTATTTATTCTTTAAAGATTTACTTTTATTTTTATTGCAAAGTCAGATATACAGAGAGGAGGAAAGACAGATAGGAAGATGTTCTGTCCAATGAGTCCCCAAGCGACCGCAACGGACAGTGCTGCACCAATCTGAAGCCAGGAGCCAGGAACTTCTTCCAGGTCTCCCATGCGGGTACAGGGTCCCAAAGCTTTGGGCTTTGGGAAGACCCTCTTTGTCTCTCCTCCTCTCTGTGTATATGACTTTCCAACAAAAATAACCAAATCTTAAAAAAAAAATGAGCTTGCTTTACTATTTCCATCCTCAATCTATGTGATAATGTCTCTAACACCTGGAAATACAGCAGTCAGCTTGTGACACAAACTGGACAAGACGACCTGCTGAAATTGGCAGAACAGACTTACGATGTCACTGAGGGCAGTAAATCAAGCAAACACGGGAGGGCCTTGGGAGCAGTCACATCGTGTTCCCGCACGATGTCATATTCGGCCATCCCAGTGTAGACCTACATAGAAGAAAAAAGCAAAAACCCGAGGTCAAATAGCTACTCCAAAAGACTAAACTCATTGACCAACAAACAAGATATACAACTCCAGTTCACAGGATTGAAAGTAATTCTTTATTGATAAATGTTTACACTAGAATTAGGAATGTCAGTAGAAAAATAAAATTTAAATAATTTTTGTATCATACAAAGAATTGATCGTTTTGACTGTAGCAGTTGGTGTAATAAGCTAATACAAAAAAAGTAAGGCTGATTTTTGTCACAACCAACCTTACAGAATGCACAGGAAAGACTCGCCAGTCCGTAACGCTTCCTGCGCGGGGGCTGCAGATGGCACCAGGGCTTCACATTCTAGAAAAAGCTTCCTCGGGGAGGTTGAGTGTCAGTGCACGCGCCGCGTGTCATGCACACTGAATCGGGTCAGGGCACAAAAGACACCAGAACCAAAGTCAACACATGATTTAAAACTTGAAAAACCTAAGGCAGGATGTAATTATGTGCAGGTGTTTTTTCTCACTAGTTATAAAAAAATTAAAGTGAGAATCAAGAAATCAGCTATGACAGTTATAAGCTGCTGCCCTGTCACAAAAGAAACAAACGAAGCAAAACTGAGGGAATGGGGAATGGTGGCTGCATGTGTTTCTAAGAAATTTGGTGAATAAAAACTTCCAGAAAGTGATAAAGGGCAAGGTAAAATGTGTAATATAACTGCAACCAAGCAATCACTCTCCAGTAATTTTGTATTTGAATCATAAAGGAAAAGAAAACAGGTGAAATAGACACTCTTTATCATTCAAATAGTTTCTCCCTGAAAACAGTTCAAGCTATACCTCCTCTATGGAAAGTCTATATACAATTATCCACAGTCGAATATTTCACAGTGATAGATGAAACATACTAGAAGATGCATTTTATATTTGAAGATTTAAATCAAAAAGGAAGGCAGTATGTAAAACAAGAAACAAAGACATCTTTCAAAATTCCTTAATTTTGTGTCATGCCTCTAAAGAAAAAATTGATGTTATAATTACAGGTCAGTATGCTTAAAAATTAGTTTCCAGTTTATAGGAAACTGTGAAATTACATCCAAAAGTAAGTTTTAGGTAAGAATTTTAACAGGAGGCATTATTCTTCCAAGATGATAAAGATAGCACCCAACTGCAGCCACAGCGGTGGCGTGATGGACTACTCATTGGGGTGTCGGCATCCCATCTGGTCACTGGTTCAATCCTGACTGTTCCACTTCCAATCCAGCTCCCTGCTAATGGTCTGGGAAAACAGCAGAGGATGGGCCAACACTTTAGGCCCCTGCATCCACACGGGAGACCCAGAAGATGATCCTGGCTCCCAGCTTCTGACCAGCCTAGCTGTAGACCAGCCGATTCCAGCTGTCGTGGCCATCTAGGGAGTGACCCAGCAGATGCATGATCTGTCTCTTCCTCTAACTCGCTTTCACGTAAAATAAATAAATCTTTAAAACAAAAATATACGACTGCCCCAGTTCCTTAAATGAAGGAATAATTTCCAAAATGAAACTCTCTGTGCAGTGAAAACTGAATTTTTAAAAAACTGTCTGGAGCAAAGTTTTGAATTTCTTGTCGGAGAAATCAGAAAAGATACGTGTTTTCATTCCAACTCTACCTGTAATCTCCTGAGTACATGCTCCCATAATTTTGATAAGTGAGCTAAGTAGGAGGAAATATCCAGCTAATTTTTCAGATTCTTCTGTCACTTTTCTCTATGATTATCCCTCAAAAATTGGTCTTCCTGGGCATTTTTAAGCAAAAACAAGAATGCATAATACTTTAAATGCAACGGATCCACAGTCAGGTGCACATGACCTCGGGAGCCGTGGTGTTACACGCACCAGGAAAACTCTCCTTTTAAGAAATGTCAGATTTATACAAGAAGCCGTATTTCATACCAAACTGTTTAGCTGGAAAGAATCAAGCTGGGTAATTAAGTTTTACTACCTATCCCTTTTTGAAGGTCACAGTTTTCCGGCCTTTTAATGAAAAAGTTTAAGTAGTAGGGTAAGAATTAAAATAGCTAAAGCTGAGGCTTTTAAGACCTCATCTATTTAATGCTCTTCAATAAAAATATAAAGCACAGAGATGGTGTGTAATGGAAATGAGACTTCAGGCACTTTATGGGAGTCAATATCCAATACTGTAAGGAAGTCTGAGGACTCCCCAGTTCCTGGTAAACATAGTAAGACTAAGAGATGAGCAACCACCAGCTGAAGAAACAGCTGAGACTAAAGAGCCACCAGTAGAGCAAACTCATTAAGTGTCAGAAAATGTTCACAAAGTATCTTATTTGTGCCCCAGTATCTAATGAGCATTCTAATAAATCTGGCTTAAAATTTTAAACAACCCAGTTAATACGGGTATGTGTCCAGTTAAACTAAATAAACTTAAAAGAAGTAAACGTGATAGGAAAAAGCAATACAGAAATTCTAAAATATAGGTCTCCACTGGCAAGCTTACTTTGCTAAAATGTACAAGACAACAAATTCACATCTTTTAATATATATTAAATAACTGGAGGTCAGGATAGTTATCCATAAACTGTCACATTATTCAACAGCTACCTACTTCGTCCTCCAACAGTGGAACCAAAATCACTCCTCGGGTTATACTTTGATTTTTTTTTCCTACTATATTTCATCATATTTGTTCTCAAAGCTGTCCTCAACGAAAACCTGGCATTTACTGTCACGAGATGTAACAAAAGAAAAGTGCCAAATTTTAATCAAGATTAGATCAGTTAGGCTTGTAGTACAACATACTCTGCTCATTTGAAAGAAACTAGCATTTTCCATAGTTTCAAGTATGCGACACTGCATTTTCTCACAGAATATTATAAATTTCAAGAGTGCAAGGGACGCTGACCCAGTGACACGGCTGGCCTGCCTTTTGGAAAGGTACAGTGTATTAAGCCACTTAAATTAAACATCTGTGAAAAAATGCCAAGAAACTTGTTCTGCTTTAGTGGAGAATGACAAGACTCGGCAAAGATCGCAGTCTCTGGTGCGTCAAACCCAAGACACGGCTGGATGCTGGTTCTCACACTCCGGCTTGTCCATGTGGCTTGTCCACGCGGCTCCTATGTGAAACATCCCACTTGATGTTTTGTTTTGTTTTTTTCTGAGGGCTCTACAAAACTGTTTCCACATCACAGCAAAGGGTATATGCTATAGAGTCGCTAAAATCCGCAGGAAGGAGACTACCACCACACAGAAGGTCTGTCCCGTGCCCAGCGTGAGGGCTTCAAAGGGTATCATTTCCTTCCCTGCTGCTCGGTAAACTCCAGCAATTGCTGCACCTGATCCAAAATACCAGGGGGAATTAAAAAAGAAAAAAAGAAGGTTAACAAAATCATGAAAACTTAGCACTCAAAATTCTACTCTAGTTAGACAGTTCCAAATTTTATATACTAAAGTTGAAATACAGAAATATTTCATTTTTCCTGTTCATTCTGCCGACTATTCTAATTCTAAAGCATTCCTTACGATGTTCACTCATTTTAGTATTTACGTATGGAACACTTCTATGTCTTCTAACCGGCGATTCTGCAAGTTGTTGAATTGTGCTTCTTGGTGTAGCCTTCCTAAAACTACAAAGTTTTTTGAATTTACTAAATAAGATAATGTGCATTAATCAAAATTGAAAAGACAATTCCCAAATGACCTGATTGTGAACTGAAAAACATCTTTTTTCTCCCATGACAATTAGTACCATGCTTAACATTTAATTAGTGTCTAATAAATTCTTGGCAATAAACGAGAAAAAAAAATCCTTTGAGTTAGAATGAGCAAAAATAACGTCAGCCAGCAGGGCAGGCCTGCTCTGTCCCTGTCTTGCTTGTCCTGGAGTTCCATCCCAGGGAAGGGTCACCGAGGCTGTGAAGGGATGGGAACAGACGAAGATGAAGCTCGAAACCATGGGATTGTTATGAATTCAAAGGGCAAGAAGGGAGAGCTACTCAGATTCCTGTTTCCCATATAATCACGTGTCTTTTTAGAAATTGAGAAAACCAAACAAAAACTCCTGTATCTGCTCAGGTTCTTATCTGAGTTTCTGCTGTGACTCAGCATTGCACAACAAAGTCAACATTTCAGCAGTTCGAAAAGGACAGATCCAGATCTCTCAGATGGCCCCTCACTACACAAACCCTCTTTGCTGGTCACAAAGTGTCCATTCACTCTAATATTTATTTCTGGAACACTTCCATGTGTCATAGTAGCCTACCCTTCCTAGCTTCCAGGTGCTCAGAATCTAGCTAAAAACATCAAAATAGAACTTTTAACTAACCAAGGTAACAGCCAGCCCGTCCCTCAATTGTATAGACACTTCAGAGATGTGATATGCAGAGACCTCAACACAGTTCAATAAGAACAGTATTAATCTGAGCTTTGTTCCCTTGAACTGCCAAATTGCAGTACATGCACCCAGGTCTCTAACATGTGAAAGGCTCATGTTTACAGGACCCCTCTGTGACTTAGAAGAGAGAAGTTTGGGGAACTTGAACTTGGTTGGCCCTAAAGTGGGGAAGCAGGGCAGAAAGGACAAGGCCCACCAGAGCCAGCAACAAAACAGGAAGGGCGCAGCCTGCCCACTAAAGATGGAAATGAAGCAGCAGCTCCTGCCTGGGCACAGGGCGTGTAGGTGGCAGGATTAACCCTATTTCACTCAGTAGAAAACTGAGGAGGCCCTAGGGACAAGGCCACTGTGCACAAAGCAAAGCAAAACAATAACAACAACAAAAAAATCACTCATCAAGAAGACAGGGAGATTTCTGCTTGAAACTCAAAGTTTAAATTCTCAGTGAAAAAAATTAAGCTATAAATTAGATTTTTAAGAATCTACTTATGCTCACATGTAACACCTTAAAAAAATATATACCAAAATGCAACCTGTGGCCTTACTGAAGCATGGGCTAGTGGAGACCTGGACTTTTACTTATTTATAACTTTTAATTCATATAAAATGCATAAGTTTTGACTTAAACATGAGCTTTAAAAATTATTTAATCTTATTCTCATTCCTGTTATTGTGCTCTATGGAATGAGCAAAAAACAAACAAAAACAAAAACACACACATACGAAGTAATCCTAAAACAGAAAACAGGCTTAAAAATTATTTCTAACATCAGTGTTATCCCGATTCTTATTCACAAAGTCCTGAAGGGAGAAAACAACCAGGACACAAATCGAGTACTTTCCTAGACATGGGGTGTCACTAGAGCAACTCTTCCACCCCAGCTGAGGACAGTGGCTGGTCATCGTGCAATGCCACCAGTCAAGCTGATCAGAGGAGTGGCAGCTTCCAGAGGCTCACAGTGGCACAAGATGGAGCTTGCCAAGCTTTAAGCAGCTTCCCCAGAGCCAAGGGCTAAAATCTGATTCCGGACAGAGACAGGGATCCAGGTGTGAGGAAAAAACCCAACACATTCAAAACCAGGACCTGTGATACAAAGGCATGCTTTTTTTTTTCCCTTCATCCCACTCAGATAATGCTTCTACAATGGGCTCTGAAATTCACTGGCTCATCATTATTAAATGTTTCAACTAGTATTTGAATGTCTAACATACTTGTCAAGATTCCAGCAGTAATTGGTCCCACGATGCCCATCAACAGGATGCTTACAGACATGAACCTACCATATTTGTGATGTCTGAGGGTGAAGAGGGCCAGTAATCCAGCAGGGACATGGAAGAAGAGTGACGACACCAGTGCCCACAGGAACACCCCGTACCACATCTCTGTGAGGGAAGACAGGAAGGGCTGCACATCACCGACCTCCAAGAAGGGGACCCATCCACCCAGCCATCTCATTTTCCAAAGCACCCAGGAGTGGAGCGAGCATGCAGCCTGGCAGTTAAGGTGCTGGGATCCCAGCGTCCTGCCACATCAGACTCTGGGAGGCAGCAGTGATGGCTGCCACCCAGATGCAAGACCCTGATGACATTCCTGGCTCCGGGCCCAGGCCCCAGTCACTGGCTCTTGCAGGTACTTAGGCAGTAAATCAAGTAGATGGACTTCTGTCTCTTTCAAATGACACAGTCATTTCGCCCTACAGATGCCCATTAAGGTGCCTGCAGCCCACAACAGTACTGGGCTGACACCTGCCCCAGCTTCGGAATGCAGCTTCCTGCTCATGCAGACCCTGGAAGGCAGTGGTGATGTCACCCACTTGGGAAATCTGATCTGAGTTCCTGGTTTTATGCCTCTCTGCCCTCCTCCACTGTGGCCATCTGGGGAGTTCAGCTAGCAAACCAGAGCTCTTTATTTGCCTATGTAATTTAAAAGGATTAAATTTTAAAAATATAAACATGTAAAACCAATATATAAAATGTAAGCACTTCCATAAATACACATGTATTTATATGGGTGTACAGACATTTGCATACATACACAGAGACCAACTACTAGTAGCCAGTGCCACGCAGACCCTGACCTTCAGCAGCTCTGCCCCGACCCCTCTGGGCAGTCACTCACATCCCACTGCAGCTCCTCTTCCAGCCAGTTCAGCTGGGGCTCTCCTTGCCCTTTCAATGGGCAGGCAACTCTCCCTCTCCCAAGGCTCCAATGCCCGTGTCTGAGTCCTGCTCCTGCCTAACAAGCAGGCACCTGCCAGGGCACTGCCCCCCACCTGTCTGGGTGCACCGTGCTCTCCCACTGTGGGGTGAGGCCTCTACTACACCACTCATGGCCAGTTCATCTCCCAGGCACAGCACAGCACCATGCAACTTCCTTCCAACGCAGGAGCATCCTCTGCAGTCCCAGTGTCCTCACGGGCCATTCCCCACTTCACTCAGAGACCCTGTTCATCCTAACAGCTGGTCTGCAGCAAGTTCCATGATGGTGCTAGGAAAGCCACTGCCCTACGGCAGACAAATGGGACTCAAGCCTGCAGTTGACACCCAGCTACTGCCAGCCACCAGTGAGCGGAGACTGGCACTGGCTGGGCCTGAGCTGCTGCTGTCCTGCACTGCTTTCCCCAGTCACCTGAGGCACTGCTGGCATGGCTCTTTACTGGCTGCTGCACACTAAGCTGGCAACTTCCAAAAACATGAGCCCGAGGTGAGGGTTTGGGCTCGCTATTACACCACTTGGGACACTCACGTGCCACATTGCAATCCCATCTCTGCATAAGTCCAGTCTCCTGCTAAGGTGCAGCAAATACTGACTTCAGGAGTGAGTCCCTACCACTCACATGGCGACCTGGAGTGAGTTCTGGCCCTCAACATTGCAGACATGGGGCAGCAAAACCGCAGTTAGTCTGCTGGCTCTCAAAGCACCCATTTTAGCTTGCTCTTAAAAAATTATAAAGAAAGACCTGGTACGGTAGCATAGTGGCTAAAGTCCGCACCTTGTATGCGCCCGGGATCCCATATGGGTGCCAGTTCGTGTCCCGGCTGCTCCACTTCCCACCCAGCTCCCTGCTTGTGGCTGGGAAAGCAGTCAAGGACAGCCCAAAGCCTGAGTGGGAGTGGGAAGCAACTCCTGATCAGCTTAGCTCCAGTTGTTGTACCCGCTTGAGGAGTGAACTAGTGGATGGAGGATCTTTCTGTCTCTCCTTCTCTCTGTAAATCTGCCTTTCCCATAAAAATAAATCAATCTTTAAAAAAATTATAAAGGAAAAAGTGGTTCTAGATCAAGGAAAAACTGTGGATATAGCTTAGGGTGACACTGAGGGATAGGGTTAGGGCTGCCTTATGCTGAGCTATGAACCCCCAAACTCAGGTAGAAAATGTAGCAAAGTGGCTACATCTCTTGCTATCTCTGTCATGTGAGGTCACAGTGACAGGGCAGCCACCTGCGGACCAGGACATGGTCCCTCATGAGAACCTGACCACAAAGGCACTCCAATCTCCAACTTCCAGCCTCCAAGTCTAAAAAGGAAGCATTTATTGTTCGCATCATCCAGTCTGTGGTATCTCTTTATGGCCATCCTGGCTAAGATGCCAATACTCAGCCCTTTCAGTTCCCGGATCCCAGTACCTGCCCAGACATGCAAAGCTACCAGCCAACCCTCTCTCAGCTGTCCTATAAGCTTAAAGGCCAATTTGTAAACAGGCTCTCCCACTGCAGGTCAGCACCTCCTTGATTTTCCTAGACGGGGAAGCAGGCGGCAATCCCGAGCCTTAAACCACACCCATCGGTGACCTCAGTGCCTACCTAGTTCATAAAGTACCGCTGATGTCACTTCCCACACAAAAAAGCTGTTTTCAGATGGTGAGTTATTATAGGACTCTAAAAGCAAAGGCAAACCCAGATCTATAAAATGCTTAAAAAAAAAAAAGATTCCCCTTTAATCTACTGCACTTTATTTTGTCATCCACTTAATAGCTATTTATCGATCATCATACAGTACTTTTCATTTCCCTGGCTCCACACACTATCAAAAATATGAGGATAAGCATCTTACAGTGTCTTCTTAGTCTCCGCTTCAGACCAGGTATGTTGTCCTCAGCTCTGTGCACCCTGGCAGCTAGACACGGGTTAGTCCATTTGTGCTGCTCTAACAGAAATCTACCTGGCTCACAGTTCTGGAAGCCGGGGAGCCCAAGAAGAGGCCACACCTAATGAGGGCTTCTTGCTGCTCATAGCACAGTGGAAGGCACGACCCAGGCAAGAGAAAATCCTGGGAGCAGGCCAGCAGGGGTTGCACCTGCTTTCAACAAACACACTCCTGCTAGGACAAAGACCCAAACCTCCTGTTAGAAGTCCTACCTCTCAATACTGTTACCCACAGGGGACATTTCCAAACCACAGGTGCATCCAAAGGCACATCCCTTTGCTCTTGTAAAGCAAGGGCAAGGACTGTGGTTGAATGGGCCCCTGCGGAGATGTTCCCACCCTCATCCCCTGCAGGACCTTGGAAAAGGAGGCTTCGCAGGGGTGACTAAATTAGGGACCCTATAAAGGGACATTTAACCTGGATTTTCCAGGTGGACCTAATGTCACCAAAGGCCTCTTTGAAAGTCAGGTGGGAAGATGCTATGCTGCTGCAGAGAACTGCAGGTGACCCAGAGAAAGGCAGGAAACAGATCCTCCAGCAGGGATGCAGTTCCTGAGTCACTGTGTTTCTGACCTCCAAAACTGCAGACGATACGTTGTGTGGGCCTTGTGTGTATTTATGATCTGCTTATTGGAAAGGCAGAGCAACAGACAGAGAGAAAGAGATCTTCCACCTGCTCATTCACCCTCCAAATGGCTACAAAGGCCAGGAGCCAGGAACCCCACTCAGGTCACCCACATGGGTAGCAGGGCCCCAAATACTTAGACGCTCTCCTACTGCCTTGCTGTCTTCTCAGATGCGTTTGCAGGGAGCTGGATCAGAAGTGCAGTGGTAGCAGTCAGGACTTGGACTGGAACTCATGCAGGATGCTGTCATCACAAGCAGCAACTTAACCCGCCGCACCACAATGCTGGCCTTATTGGTGGCTTTAAGTTGCTGAATTTGTGCTCATTAATCAAATATTTATTGAGTTCATTTTATATGTCAGGTACATTAATGCACAATAAGACAAGGATCCCTGCCTGCTCTCAAAGAGCTCTTGGCTTGAAGAATATATTTATACTTTCTTTCCTCCCTTCTTTATAACTCATTTCATCTATTTCAAATAAATAAATCTTAAAACAAAACAAGAATATACTTATGGAGTGGGTGCTGTGGTACAGCAGGGTAAGCTGCCACTGGGATACTTACAACTCACACTGGAGTGCCTGGGACAGAGGCCATCACTAAGCCACCTCGCTTCCCAGCGAGGCCTTGGACCTCCCTGGCTCCATCGGAAGATAGCGGTTTCTGCTTCTCAAAAAGTTTTTGAAGTCAGATCACCCCTCCTCCGTCTGAACTATCACAGCCCTCTATGATGCGGCCTTTGCCTGCCCCTTGCCCACGTCTTCCGTCCAGGCACAGGGGCCTCCGTGTTGGTACCTAGACCCCCTCTGGGGGACGCTGGAGTCGCTGCTCCCTCCCTGGGGAAGCTCCTCCTGCAGGGGCTGAGGCTCCTTTCCCACTTCCCTCGGGTCTCTGCTCCAAAGTCCTTCTCTTAGGGCTTCACCAAGTGAAACTGCGTTCAGGCCCTGCAGACACACACTGCTGACTATGCCACCCTGTCCCACGGCCCCCATCAGCAGTGCCACGTCACACTTCTGATTCTTTTTTTCTTACGAGAAGGAAAGCTCCACATGAGAACCGGCTTTGTTTTGTTCCCCGTGGCATTTTGGTGCCAAGAAAACAATCAGCAACCCAAGAGACAAGTAAATATTGACTGGACAAATGACTGGTCCCAGTGTGAGCTATTCTTGATTCCAGTAAAGGCACAACTGAAGCATCAATAGATTTTAATTACCACAAGATACACTTTGATAGTGATTTCATGAAATCCACATCTTCAGAAAATGATGGTCAATTTTTCATACAAGAAAAAGACTGTCCTGGTATTCTGAAATGTCAAAAAAAAAAAAAAAAAGAACATGGGCCTGGCTCGGTTGCCTAGTGGCCAAAGCCCTTGCCTTGCACACGCCAGGATCTAATCCTGGCAGCTCTGCTTCCCATTCAGCTCCCTGCTTGTGACCTGGGAAAGCAGTCGAGGACGGCCCAAAGCCTTGGGACCCTGCACCCGCGTGGGAGACTCGGAAGAGGCTTCTGGCTTCGGATCAGCTCAGCTCCGGCCATTGCTGCCACTTGGGGAGTTAATCAGCGGACGCAAGATCTTTGTCTCTCCTCCTCTCTGTGTATCTGACTTTTCAATAAAAAAAAAAATCTTTAAAACACACACACAAAATGAAGGTTAGGTAAAACCTAAATAGCTAGACTTAAACGCAGGTTAAAAAAAATCAATCCAAAGTTTCCTGATAAAGATGCACTGTGGAAACTTTCAAAGTAATAATTCTGCCATAATGAATTGGCATAACTCTACTAACCTTTCCTGTCAGATCAAATCACAAACCTGCCAGGCTCAGGAAGAAGAAAATGCACATAAAATAAGTTCTGGTGTCTGAAAGAGGAAGAACTTCCATGCACCTTTCACACCATGAGCCACAGCAGAAGGCTGATACCCACAGTACTGTGGACAACCTGAACTAAGGCCATGCCCCGTACACGCCTACACTCCCAGGCCAGAGCCTGCATTTGGCCAAAGATGTACCTGCTGGGTGGATTACGCCTCGTGTCCACATCCGCCAAACCCACACCCACATGCTACGGTGTGGATATGGGCTGTGCATCCCCTGAGGATGCGTGTGTTGTAATGCATGTGTTAAACCTGTTGTGGTTTAACAGGTTAAGCCATTGCCTGCACCTACATGGGTGCCAGTTTGAGTTCAGCTGTTCCATTTTCAATCTTCCCTACTAATGCACCTGGAAACGCACAAAGGCTCAAGTCCTTGGGCCCCGCATGCCTGTGCAGGACCTCGAGGGGTTCCTGGCTTCTAGCTTCGGCCCAGCCCAGCTCTGGCTGTTGTGGCCATTTGGGGAATGAAACAGAGAACAGAACATCTCTTCTTTCTCTATCTTCCAAAAAAATTTTAAAAAGAAAAACAAAGCGCATACACACACAAGGAAACGCAATCCCTGCTGCGAGGTACAGTGACAGTGAGAACCCGACTCCGGTGTTCAGAAGCGGGGCCTTTGCGAGATGATCAGGGTTAAGTCATCAGAGCAGAATACTGGAAGCTTCGCAGAAGAGGCAGTTGGGCCAGCAGACACAGGGGCAAGCTCCCTGTCACTGCCTGTGGTGTGCCCTGTGCCACCCTGGGATTGTGCCAGCTGGGTCATCATCACCAGAGGAAGTCCTCAAACCACGGATCCGCAAAATTGCAAGCCCAAATAAACACCAGTCGCTGGTATTTCATCATAGTACCACAAAAGTGGACTAACATGCTCCACAGGTCATCATAAACTCAAATATATATTGTAGTTCAATATTTTCAGAGCCAATTTTGAAAGCAAGCAACTCCCATGGCTACTGTAACATGGTTATTTACCTATCTTTACTCCAAAAGAAAAAATTAAAGACAAAAGAATAGCTTCAAAGCCTTACTTCACATGACTTTTAAAATTATGAAAGCATTAATGTACCCATACAATGAAGAGACCTGATAGACATCAACTTCACCAAATGCTCAAAGTCAGCCTTACTAATAAAGGCAACTGTGCCCTGGCCCATCAGGCTAAGCCTCCACCTGCACCCGAGCCACCAGAATCCCAGGTAGTCACCATTTTGAGTCCTAGCTGCTCCACCTCTGATCCAGCTCCCTGCTCGTGTCCCAGGAGGGCAATGGAGGATGGCTTGAGTCCTTGGTGCCCCTGCACCTACATCGGAAACCTGGAGGAAGCTCCTGGCTCCTGGTTTTGGATCGTCAAGCTCCAGCCACTGCAGGTATTTGGGGAATGAATCAGTGAATCAAAGCGCTCTCTCTCCTCTCTCTCTCTGTAAAATCTGCCTTTCCCCAAATGGTCCCAGTGGATCCAGAACTAGGAGCTTCTTCGAGATCTCCCATGAGGGTGAAGGGACCCAATGCCCTGGGCCATCCTCTGCTGCCTTCCCAAGCACAAGCAGGGTGCTGGATGAGGAGCGGAGCAGCCGGAACATGCATGACCCAGCACCCACATGGGATCCTAGCACTTGCAAGGTGAGGATTTAGACACTCAGCCATTGTGTAGGGCCCTCCAATAAATCTTAAGAAGATAAACAGCTCCGATGCAATGTGCCTGGCAAGCCACCTTCTAACACCACCTTCTAACTCAAACTGTTTAATCTGAATCTGATAAGACAAACCTAGGTTACAGGGCATTTTGCAAAATGAAAAAACTAGCCCACATCTTCAGAAGAGTCAATCTCTCAAGAAAATGAAACAAAGATGGAAGAACTGTTGTAGGTCAAGAGACAGAGACATGACTTCTAAGCACAACGTGCGATCTTTGATTAAATGGTGGAATTTCTCTCTCACACACAAGGAAAAGCTCTTTGCACAACTGGGGAAACAAAGTGTAATGGGAACGCACACGTACCAACCAAATGACCACAAAGTCACAAGCCATCTAACAGTGTGGCCAGCAGCTCAGGGCACATATGAGGAGCCCACCCTTCACCCCACCTCGGGCCTGACACCAGACGAAATCACCTAGGACATACCCCACACTACACTGTATCTGAAAAAAGTCAAAGAATCTAAATATTATCCAGCCTCAGGAAGGGGCATATGGGGTCCTGCTGTGACATTCTTTCAAAGGAAACAAAATGGAGACGAATGGCACCCCATGGTGTCTCGGTTCCTGTGCCACACACTTGGGCTCACTGTCCGCTCTGACCCTAGTGCCATTCCAACAACTGAGCCAGCTGCCAGGCTCCCATTTTAGGCATGATTGCAAAGGTATGGTCTGGAGCTGACTCAACACTGGTTATTATCTAACCAAGCACTTCACACACCTACTGGGGAAAATCACCAGACAGGTAACACAGCCTGTCCCAGGTGTCCCCGGACTGGCGCCTGGCAGTCCCTGCCCAGCGGATGGCAATCACAGGCGTCTTGTTCAAGGCTGCAAGGTAATCCCACGTCCACTGTCCCTGGGCACCTGCTCCCGGCCCAGTTCTCCCAGCTCGGACCAAGGGCCCCACCTCTCCTGCCAGCATCCTTGGTCTTGGCCTTCACATTGGGGTCATCATCCCTCTCCTCCTCTTCCCAACTTTCTGAACACCTGCCTTTCTACTTGGTCCTCCCCCACCCGTCCCAACTTTTAAAAACCCTTCCACCAGGCCGAACTGCAGTGGGCTTACAGACCCGGGACGTGTGGGTGGGGGAATAGGCAACAGTTCCTACAAAGAGGCAGCCGGTCGGGTCGGCAGAAAGCTTCCGTGGCTGGGCGTTGGGGTGGTGGGATGAGGGGAAGGGTTAGAAACAAAGAGGGGGCGACTTCCGATCGCCCCCACCCAGCCCAGCCGGGACCAACACGGCCCAGCGCCCACCCAAGGCCGCCGGACGCTACCTGGCGCCCCAAACGAGACGACAAGCCTGGCCCGGAGAGTTCAGCAACCTCGGCAAGCCCAGACCCGCCCAGGTCCCGGGAGCACTGGCGGCTATCTTCCTCCTGACCCCACCACGTCTCCATCCGGCCGGCCAGCGGGGCAGGCAGTGCCCGGGCCTGGACCTGGGGCGGGGGCTCAAGGGCCGCTCCTGCCTAGCCCGGGCGCCGTACCTGGGAAGGAGCAGAGCGAAGTGGAGTTGGGGCACAGGGTCCCGTTGCCCACTCGTGGCACGAGCTTCAGGCTGAGGATCTGCTGCAGGAGCCCGGCCGAGCCCCCGCTGCTGCCGCCGCTCCCCTCGCGCTCCATCCCGCCGCCATTCACCGCACAGACGAGAGGGGAGCGCCGCCCAAAGGGCTGAGGAGGGCTCGCGTCCCCGCACCTCAGCCGCCTCAGCGTCACCTTCGGCCGCGAGCCCTTTCCTGCCTCCCACCCCAACGGCGAGGCCGAAGGATGGTTCCTTCCTCCAATCACAGCGCGCCGCAGCCGTCAGGGGGCGGGGCGAAGGCTGTTCCCGCCCCTGACGTTGCGTGTGCCTCGGCGAACCAGCCCCTCCCGCGGGCTTCTCCTAGCGGACGAGCCTCCTCCGTTCCGGTAGGGAGTGCTCTGCGGCGCCGCCTACGGGAATGTAGGGGAATTACACACGCTCCAAGAGCCATGCAGGACGCGGGGCTGAGCTGAACGGATTGGCAGCGTTGTTCTAGCCGGTATTCTTGAAAGTCTCGTGAACGCAACACTAAAGTCATTTATTTAAAACTAAGAGTAAACAGTCTGGAACCGGAACACTCCCCACTGCTAGGCTTACGATCCAGCTTCCCGCTTATGGGCCTGGGAGAGCAACAGGTGACGGTCCCAAGTACCTATCCACTGGGAGATCCGGCAGGAGTTTCTGGCTGTTACAGCTGTTGGAGGATGAAACAGCTTATGGAAGAGATCTGTTTTCCTGTATCTCAGCCTTTCAAATAAATATAAACACACCTCTAAAATAATAAAACTAACTTACAAGAGATTATGTTCAAACGTAGGTGTGAGATTTGCCCAGGAGGGCAACTATGTATTCGTATATATATTGTCCCTGTATAATGCCAAGTGAAAAAAGCTAAACATAAAAGACCAAGCACTATAAACTTCTGATTCTATGAAAAGTCTAAAAAAGACACTTTTAGAGACGAAAAGAAAGTCAGGGATTTGCCTGGGGATCCTTTTTGGAATAATGGTGACAGAAATCTGAAAATTTACTAAAAATCAGTTAATGGCACACATTAATGCATGTTGCAGTACCTAAATTCTACCATATAAAAAACCTTCTTTAGGGTCTGGCACAGTGGCCTAGTGGCTAGAGTCCTTGCCTTAAATATGCCAGGATCCCATACGGGTGGCAGTTCATGTCCCAGCTGTTCCACTTCCCATCTAGCTCTCTGCTTGTAGCCTGGGAAAGCAGTGGAGGACGGCCCCAAACCTTGGGACCCTGCACCGGCGTGGGAGACCTGGAAGAAGCTCTGGGCTCGTGGCTTTGGATCAGCTCAGCTAAACTCTAGCCATTGCAGCCACTTGGGGCATGTGCTAGCAAATGGAAGATCTTTCTGTATCTCCTTCTCTGTAAATCTGACTTTCCAATAAAAAGAAACAAATCCTTAAAACAATTGGCCAATAACCTACTAAAATTTCTGTGTAAGTTATCTGGAGTAGCCAGAATGTGCCTTTAATAACTATAGCAGTCATCTTAGCTTTCTACCACAACCATAAATTTCAAATCTGTTTTTTTGCTTGACTTCAAAGGGAAAATGAGAACAAGACTTGAAAAATAGCCAAGCAAGCCACTCATGAAAGCTGAACCGTCTCATCATTTTAGCTGAAATTAAATGATTCTTGATGATTTACAGATATTTTCCAGGGGATCCAGACTTCTTGCCAGCATTTCAGATTCTGTAAGACTCCTGGGCACGTGATGGAGTGTAGTGTGCTGGCAGTCCTTCTCTACTGACCGTGCTCTGCCCATAGCAGGGTACACCCTGGAAATAAAGAGTGCTGCTCAATTTTTTAAAAAAGGAAGAATAGAGCCCAGCACCACAGCGTAGTGGTTAAAGTTCTCGCCTTGCACACGCCAGAATCCCTTCTGGGCGCTGGTTCTAATCCTGACGGCCTTACTTCCCATCCAGCTCCCTGCTTGTGGCCTGGGAAAGCAGTCGAGAACGGCCCAAAGCCTTGGGACCCTGCACCCGCGTGGGAGACCTGGAGGAAGTTCTTGCTCCTGGCTTCAGATTGGCATAGCTCCGGCCATTGTGGCCACTTGGGGAGTGAACCAACCGATGGAAGCTCTGTCTCTGGAAGAGGGGAGATCTTCCTCTGTCTCTTCTTCTCTCTTCTTCTCTCTGCATATCTGACTTGGCAATAAAAATAAATAAGTCAAAAAAAAAAAAGGAACTATAACACCTTCAAAGAAAAACTTCTGGCTACCTACTAGGCAAAGCCTATTAGGTGATTTGTCTTCAAGGAGAGGAATTTGGAAGACAATGGATCTGTACCCTCAATACTTGCAGGCCAAGTGATTTTCGGGAAAGCCATGTTTATTTTCCATCCAAGAGCATCCTGCCCAAAATATTCAAAAGTGTCAGCAGACTCGGTGACTCAAGCTCCCTCCTGAAGGCTTCATTATAGACGCTTTCTAACTCCAGTTCCCTCAACACTGCAACCAAGAATCTTAACAAAAACTACTGAACATAAAAAAGTGCGGAACTATTTAACAACAAGGCCTTTTCAATACATTGGTCGCATTTGAAAACATTGTTTTAAATTCTGAATTCTATCCCCTGTCAAATTATGAACTGAGAAGTTCAGGGCATGCCACTCAAGGCCACAGGGCTCAGGAGGTGTTTGTTTCCTTTGCGCTTGGCAAGCTGAGGAGGAGGCAGCTTCAGAAAGGAAGTGAAAAGGATAGACTCAGATTGGCGCCATTAAAAAATGAAAAAATAAAATCCGGGCCTGGCACCGTGGCCTAGCAGCTAAAGTCCTTGCCTTGAATGTGCCAGGATCCCATATGAGCGCCGGTTCTAATCCCAGCAGCTCCACTCCCAGCCAGCTCCCTGCTTGTGGCCTGGGAAAGCAGCTGAGGATGGACCAAAGCCTTGGGACCCTGCACCCATATGGGAGACCTGGAGGAGGTTCCTGGCTCCTGGCTTTGGATCAGCACAGCACCAGCCGTTGCCTTCACTTGGGGAGTGAATCATCAGATGGAAGATCTTCTTCTATCTCTCCTCTTCTCTGTATATCTGACTTTGTAATAAAAATAAATAAATCTTAACAAAAGATCCATGTAGTCTCCTTGTCATGCATATTTTCCTCAGAATTTTGTACTGAAAAGTTATCTGGGGACCAGCGTGGGGGCACAGCAAGTTAAGCTGAGGCTTCCCAGGGTGCACCACGTGTCCAGTTCCAGTTAGAGTCCTGGATGCTTCACTTCCAAACCAACTCCCAGTTAACGGGTCTCCAAGGTGACAGAAGAGGCCTGAGTGCTTGGGCACCTGCCACCTGTGAAGGAAACCCGGATGAACGGACCGCGGGCTTCGGCCTGGGGTTTCAGGTTCCTCACTCAAGTCCAGCTATTAAGGCCACGTAAGGAGTGTAACCAATAGATAGAACATCTCTCTCTTTTTCTTCCCCACCCCACTTTTCCCCCTTCTCTGTTTTCTCTCTCTCTCTTTCTCTTTTTGCCTTTAATAAATCTTAACAAAATGTTTTTGCACCAAAATAACTTCATCCCTTTCATTCCGTTTTCCATGAACTGTCTGAAGTCCCTTATAAGCATGGCAGCATCATCAGAGTTGTAATCAAGAAAGAGGAAGGTTGTGAGACAGGAAGTGGTGCCATTTCCCATGGCGTGGGGCTGACAAAGGTGCAACAGGCCAGGCAGCCACATGTCTGGACTGTAGCCTGAGGAAGCATCTTCAGAAAGAACAATGACATGGCTCTCAAGCTCCGGACAGCACAGTGAAGAAGTTCAATAAAAGGTAACACAGACTCCAAGGACAAGACAACCCTGTAAGAAAATCACAAAACATAGAAAGCACACACAAGGTGCATTTTGTTCCAGAAACTAGCTCCTCACCTCACTTTACTTAGTGAGAGAAGAAGTATAAAACTGTTTTTTAAAAAAAGATTTATTTCTTTTTTTGTTTCAAAGGTAGAGTTACAGAGAGAGAATGAACGAAAGTCTTGATCCACTGGATCACTCCGCACATGATTGCAATGGCTGGAGCTGGGCTGGTCCAAAACCAGGAACCTGGCACTTCTTCCTGGTCTCCCGCATGGGTGCAGGGGCCCAAGCAGTTGAGCCATCTTCTGCTGTTTTCCCAGGCCATCAGCAGGGAGATGGGTCAGAAGTGCAGCAACTAGACTCAAACTAGACTCAAACCAGTACCTGTAAACTTTTAGAATGCCTTATCGAATAGATTTATGCTCTCTGGATGGTGAAAGAGTTCTTAACTAGATCCAAAATCACAGCAGGGCAGGATTAATAGATTCAACTTTCTTAAATAAACAACTTGCTTTATTCAGGAGTTACTGCCAAGGAAGTAGCAAAACAGGCTACCAACTTGGAGAAGATATGTGTAATGCACAGTAACTGCTAAAGGAACAGTGCGAAGGTTACACAAAGCGCTCCTGAAAATCAGTAAGGAAGCGACAGAGACAAAAGGCTTGCCTAGGTGTTTCTTTCTATGTACAATTGGCTGATAAAAGTATAAAAAATATTGAATCCTATTATTTATCAGTGAAGCACGGGATGAAATCATACTCAGCTATCACTTCTTAATCACCAACTAGCCCCGAATTATACAACCAGAATTTTGATCATTAGTGAGCTTGTGGAGCAATGGGACGGACGCTAACTGGGAACCCAGCGAAGGCGGGGCTGCTGCTCCCACGTGGAGGCCTGGCCTGAGTTTCTGGCTCCTGGCTGGAGCTTCAGCCAGCTGGGGTCCACAGGGGAGTCCCGGCACATGGCACCTCTCTCTCTATCTGGGTGTCTGTCTCTCTGCCTCTTAAATACACAAATAAAAACATTTAAAAATGGAACAAGAGTGGGGGTCATCTCCAATACTGCCACCAGACATGTGCGGCCACTGTGTGCCCAAAACAGAAATGGAACTGTGTGTCTGAATGGAGACAGGTTGTCAGCATAAAACACACACTGGAAAAAATGTAAAGCACATCATTAATATTTTCCTATTGATTACAGGTTAAATGAACAATATTGAGGTAAACAGGATATGGTGTTACCTTTAAAAAATATTTGTTTATTTTGATTGGAAAGTCAGATATACAGAGAAGAGACAGAGAGAAAGATCTTCCATCTGCTGGTTCGCTGCACCAGTCTGAAGCCAGGAGCCCAGAGCCTCTTCCAGGTCTCTTGTGTGGGTACAGGGTCCCAAGGCTTTGGGCCGTCCTCGACTGCTTTCCCAGGCCACAAGCAGGGAGCTGGATGGGAAGTGGGGCTTCTGGGATACAAACCAGCACCCAGAAGGGATCCCGGAGCGTGCAAGGCAAGGACTTTAGCCACTAGGCTACCATCCCAGGCCCACCTGTTACATTTTTATTTCTCAAAATTTTTGTTTGTTTGAGAAAAGACAGCCAGAGAGAGAGAGGTCTCATATGCCCTCTCCCCGACCCCCCAGCCTCCCAAGTACTCACAGTGCTGGGTGCTGGAAAGTCAGTGTAGATCACCCACGCGGTGGCAGGATGGTAGCTACTGGAGGCCCTGCAGTGCCAGAGAGCTGGAAGCAGGAGCCGGAGCTAGTTTCTTGACTAGCTGGTGGGCTTATTAACTCTTCCAGGCTCCATTTGTCCTTTGCACTCATGAACCCCTCCTGGGCCCGGCTGGCTCCACATCCCACCTGAGGCAGTGGGTGTGCTTCACCCTGACTGTGCGTGACTGCTGTGCCCAGCTTTACACCTGAACTACAGGGAAGGGAGAGATTCGTGCAGCCCCACTAGAAGGGCGCAGCCTGAGGGGGAAGGCGGCAGCTACAAACCACCCACTTCAAAATGACTGAAAACAAAATCAACATTTCTTTCACAAAATTTATTTATTTTAATTTTATTGTTTATAACGATTACATGGTTGATCAAGGTGGGAAGGATCAAGGTTTAGGGAAAATTGGGTGAACTCATTGCTTCCAGATTTGCTATTTTTTCTTGTTTCTGGGAGAAGGGGAGAGACAAAGGGGAAACCGCAGGTGACTTTCAAAACGTCCCAGTACCCAGAGATGAGGAACCGCCACCTCATATCAACCCAGAGTCTCAATGTGCACACATTCCGGGGGTTCTGTCCAAGTGGTTTGGATAGTTCTGAAATGCTGCCGACTTCACTGATCCGAGGATGGATCCTCCCGATGTCTACTGGCTGACATAATAAGCTTCAAGCCTCCATTCACTGAGATTTTTTGCTGTCATCGTTTGACTGGGGTAGTTGTCCAGTTTGTTCTTCTTCTACTATGGCACCAAATGAGCTGCCATATTCTCCTTTTACAACAGGGCCTGTGTCCACTGCTCTGCCTTTTTCACTAAGTAGGACATGTTCTTGCAGGTGAGCCCAAGGCCCCGGGTCAGGATCCTGAACCTTGCCAAGTCCCCTACCCCCAGGCCTCACAGTTAACACCTGCCTTGTCTCTCTGTACTAGGATATGAATCCTCCTGGGCTGCAGAGGGCGCTAAACCTCATCAGCTCGGAGGGAAGCGCAGAGGCCTCTGTGGACAAGTCCTTTTCCTTGAATGTCCTTGCATCTACTCACCTGCAACAGCTTACCCATTCTTGAAAGCCAAAGACCGCTTGCTTCTGTCCTGCCCTCCCTCTGTCCACGCGTGGTTCTCCTCCAAGGCGCTGGGTAAGCTGCAGTCTAGAGCCTGGGCCATGAGTTACTTGTCATTGCCATTCCCCACTGATGTTATCACTGCCGACAACACCAGGTTGCTGCTCTTGGGCAATCTTTGGCTAGGGAGCTCAGCTGAGACCCCGAAAAGGGATAAGGGAACTGGTGCTTGCCCTACAAGGCATAGGCCCTGTCCACCATCCACCATGCCCCCTCAATGTTCTGGTCCTTGACATGTTTGCAGCCAAATGCCAGATGACTTCATGACCCATCCCAACCAGTGTCATTGTCAGGGGCAGGTGCTGTGGGAGAGAGGTGCGGTCCTTTGTTGGGGTACGTGCCTCCATTCCCAGTGGGGTTCACCTGTAAGGACCATGAGCTCTGGAGTCCAAGAAGTTGCAAGTTTGAATCCTGGTGTCTACATTGAGCTAGATGATTCGAGCCTGTCTGCTCTCGTCTGAATGTTTGTCTCCCCAAAGTTGAAATGCTGAAATCCTAACTCTGCTGGGTAATGGTGTCGGTGAATGAGGAGGTTGGGGAGCATTGGCCCTTATCAAACAGGCCCAGAGAGCTGTTCTTCTCACTCAAGAAATCAATTCCTGCTGTTTACAATGTATTCAGCTGAAGGTATTTTGTTAGAGGCTGCCAAATACAGAAAGGCCATTTCTAAGCCACATAGTTCCCATGAGTAAACCTCTGCCCCAAAATGCTTGTACCTGCTGTTGTCAGCAGGGGCAGACCAGGCTCTGGTGAAGCCTGAAGCATCTGTGGCTTGAAGGTTGTCAAGTGAGACACCCCAAAGCTTCAAGATCACCTTGTCTCCATCCCCTCCAAAGAGAGAAGCAGAAAATGCCACATCCTCCTTGACTCCCCACCCTCTGGAGAGAACTAGGGCCACACTCCTGCTGAGACTCAGAAGCCAGTGACAACCAGAATGCTTTCTGGGAACGTGGGGACAGTGAGGGCAGCTGCCCTGTGTCAGGGGCAATGCTGCCCTGTGTCAGGGACAATGCTCATAGCTCCTAGCGGTGTGACTTGGGGCATGTCTGAGTTGACTCAGATCAGCTTCCATTCCCTGCCAGAGCCGTTGTTTTTCAGATGCTCCCTGAACATGCTCAGGCCCAAGCCTGCCACATAGCCAGCACCTCTCTGACCTGCCCTTTAACTACCAGAGCTGGGAGCCAGGAACTGGTAGGCAGGAGTCCTCCTCTGCCCTCTTGCAGAAGAATTGAGGGTCGACAGAACTGTCCCCCCCAGCCCCCAGACACACAACAGAGTCTCTGTCATCCTTCTCTTCTGTCATCCTGGCAGTGGGACCAGTTATAAGCACCCTGACCTGCCCCACCTGTCTGCCAGGCCCTGTGCCTGCTGCCGATCTCTTTCTGTACCACCTGCCAAACCTGGCTTGCTGCCAGTCCCAGCTCCGTTCACCTCTTCTTCCACTGCCTCCCCCAGGCCTGTGCAGGATGCTGTCGGCATCCACATGTCCTGCAGCCCCTTGTGGGGCTCCTGGCCAGAGTGCCCATAGTGGGGAGAGCCTGCCATTCTGCCTGAAACGCCCTCTTTTCCCCACTGTAACCCCCAGAGCAAACTCCCTCTCTTATCCTCTTTCTGTGTGATCTGGGGAAAGTCTCTTTACTTCTGAGTTCTTCTACCTAAACTGTTCTTTAAAAGAGAGAGAGAGATTTATGTTATTGGAAAAGCAGATTTACAGAGAGAAGAGAGAGGCTGAGGGCCACAATGGTTGGAGCTGAGTTTTTCTGAAGCCTGGTGCCAGGAGATTCTTCCAGATTTCCCATGTGAGTGCAAGTGTCCAAGGCTTTGGGCCATCCTCCACTGTTCTCCCAGAGAGCTGGATGGGAAGTAGAACAACTGGGATAGGAACCTGTGCCCATTTGGTATGCCAGCATTTGAAGAAGGGGGAATTAGCCAAGGACCCACTTGCTAAACTTTTTTCTTTCTTTCTTTCTTTCTTTCTTTCTTTCTTTCTTTCTTTCTTTCTTTCTTTCTTTCTTTCTTTCTTTCTTCCTTCCTTCCTTCCTTCCTTCCTTCCTTCCTCCCTCCCTCCCTTCCTTCCTTCCTTCCTTCCTTCCTCTCTCTCTTTCTTCTCTAAACTTTACATTCTGAAGCAGGTGTTTGGCCTGCTGGTTAAGATGTTCCCACTGCCCATCAGAGGACCTTGGTTTGAGTCCCAGCTTTGCCTCTGATTCCAGCTCCCTGCCAACTGAAGATAGCAGGCATGGATCAAGTAGGGGTCCCTGCAACCCTCATGGGAAGCCTGAGTTACATTCCTACCAGCACAGGACAGTGAGCTAATGGAAGAGAACCCTCCATCCTCATTCATGTTTTGTCTTTCTCTCTGCCTCTCAATAAATACTTTCAAAAAACTTTACCGCTTGTAAACTCTAACTTGCATCACACAGTTTAGTTACTGTGTTTCTTTTTACAGGCTCTTTCCAGTCAGGACAGATCAAAGGTGCACTTTCCCTGCATGGGATGCTGGGGGTAAGTGGGCTCCTAGGAAGGGAAGCAAGAGACCGGCTGGTGGAAAGGAGACTGCAAGGCAGTATGCATCTAGTCTGATTTCGCACTGAAGACACAGGTGAGTACAGATGTCAGTGGCCTTGCTGGCATGTGGTACCAGGGGCACAGGAGAAACACAGTCCAGTGTGTGTGTGTGTGTGTGTGCCCACACAGGAGACCTACAAACTTCTGAAGCAGGTCCACCACAGCGCATTTCCCTTCCCAGCCCCACAGCACAAGGGCCACTCTTCTCAGCTTGCACAAGACACGTCCCCAGGGGCAAGAGAAAATGAAGTAATGGAGTAGAAGCCAAAACACTTCTGGGCTTCGTTTTCCATGAAGGGCGCACCTGCTGGGTCTCCAGCTGCCGCAGGGCACGAGGCCAAGCCGCGCTCTGGGGGGGAAAGAAACGTGGTGTTTGGGGCCTCAGTCCCTTCCTGCCATAGGAGAGATGAACCCCTGGGGACCGACCAGTTCCACCTCTGAGCCTTAACACCTGTCTCCCAGTTCTTGGCTAGCACGGCGCTGGGGCTCTGCACTAGGGCTGGGGATGCGCAGCGGTGGACGAGGCCCAGCTGAAGCTGCTCGGGCCGCGCGGCAGCACCAGGTCCAGGGCGAGGTCACGCTGCTCCTCCTCTGAGAACACGGTCCGGTAGCCCAGCAGTTGCAGGGCACCGGCACACAGCTCCTGAACGCGGCGGATCTTGGTGAAGGGCAGTGCATGGCGCCAGGCCTGTGAGACGTTGAGCGCGTCCCTGGAGCTGGTTTTGAAGGCCTCGCGACGCGCGCCGGGCCCCGAGCCGTGCGTGATGTTGTGTACCCAGGCCTCGAGCTGCGGCGTGAGGTTCAGGCCGGTGAAGGCGTAGAGCGCGCGGATTTCGGCCAGAGGCTCCCGCGCCAGGTCCTCATAGCGCACTAGGCGGTAACGGCCGCGCAGGAAGGGCGGCGGTTTGTGCATGGCAGCCTCGGCGATGCGCACGTGGCTGCGGCACACCTCGCGCACCACGCGCAGGCCCGGGTCGGCCTCCACCCATGTGCCATTGGTGCCTAGCACGATGCCATTGTCACGCGCCAGTGCCTTGGCCGCCTGCTCGCGGGAGCGCAGCACGGCGCGCGGGTCGCGTACCAAGTGCACGATGCGCAGGTTGAGTGCGGGGTCGTTGAGCAGTGGGTAGAGCACTTGCAGGTTGAAAAAGCGCACCTCCTTGAGCACCACGTGGCTGTAGGAGCGGCAGGCCTCACTCACCAGGCTAAAGGGCCGCCGCGCACACAGTGGCTTGCACACTGCCTCGCTGCTGATGGCGCCGCGCGGGAAGGCACTGCAGGCCGGCGGTGAGCACAGCGCGCGGCTCACCGCCCACTGGAAGAGGTCTGACAGGTTGCGGCGCCATGGCAGGTAGGCATCAAAGACGTCCATGTCGCACAGGAAGACAGAGCGCACCAGGTCGCGCACGGCCATGTGCAGCACTGGTGCACTGCCCTGTGACAGGGCAGCCCACACGTGCCACGCGGGCTCCATCAGGTAGAAGACGTCCGGGTGTTGGCTGAAGAGCTGACCCACGAAGGACGAGCCCGAGCGCCACGAGGACAACACCAGCACATGCACGCGCTCCTCTTCACCACCGCCCGCAGGTGACCTTGACCCCGGCCGCGAGACCAGGAAGAGCAGGAGGAAGGTCTGAGCCAGCAGCAGCGCCATCACTGCAGTACTGGACACGCGCGGTAGCCACATGCCGCCACCGGCCAGCTGGAGGCCTGCGGAGAGGAACAAGGTGGTTAGTGGCAGGGACCAGCACAGGGCAGGACCACCAAAACGGCGGACAAGGCCTCCTAAGAAGGCGACAGACTCAGGCGGGGTGTGACCTTAGCACAGAAGCCATGGCCTCTGTGGGAGACGGAGCTGTTCAACTACTTCCCTAACCCTGACGGTATCTGCACTTGATTTTTGCCAGAAAGCAGAGAAGGATGGCCACTGGCACCCTCTGAACCTGCTTAGGCAGAATTCCACGTTTTGTTTAAAGGAGCTTCTTCGGGTGCTACTCTCAGCTACACAGCTTGATGGGTGATTTGGAGAATGTGGGAGTTAACACCAGGTTCCCTCTGGCTGGATCTTGGCTTTTGCCACTTGCTGGCTTCTGACCTTGGACCAAGCATACAAACAAGCCAGAAAACCCGCTGTGGCTCAGTTTGCCTGTCTGTGAAATGGGAATAACCCTGGCCTGTTGACTCATAGAACTGGGGAGTGTGGGATCACCCAAATACCTGAGGACTTGCACCCTCTCCATAGTGCTCCTGCATTGTGTGATTGCTTGATCAAATTATTATGCAGCTTTATTTATTTGATTTTCCATGCATTGGCTCCTTTTCCAGATGCCCAAACAGCTAGAATTTGACCAGGCAGAAGCCAGAGCCAGGTGTTCAATCCAGGCCTCCCATTTGGCAGCAGGGTCCCCAGAGCTCAAGCCATCACCTGCTGTGTCCCAGGATGCACGCTAATAGCAAATGGAGGCGCGGGACCTGGACTTGGGCATTCTGAATCACAATGTCAGTGTCCCCAGTGGTATCTGAAACTGTGCTAAATGCCCTCTTCTGTATGATTAAAAAAAAAAAATGTGACTTTCATTATTAAACAGGAGCCAACGTTGAGGCACAGTGGGAAAAGCCATAATGCCAGCATCCCATAATGACACAGTTCATGTTCCAGCTGTTTCACTTCCATTCCAGCTCCTTGCTCACACATTTGAGAAAGCAGCGGAAGATGGTAAAATGTTAGGGCTCCTGCAACTGTGTGGAAGTTCCTGAGAAAGCTTCTGGCTCCTGGTTTCCACCAGGTCTGACACTGGTTGTTGTGGCCAAATCAAAGACCCTTTCTCTCTCCCTCCCTGTAATTCTTTTCTTCTGTTCCTTTTTTTTTTTTTTTTTTTTAAGATTTATTTACTTTTATTGGAAAGTCAGATATACAGAGAGGAAGATCTTTGGTCTGCTGATTCACTCCCCAAGCAGTCGCAACGGCTGGAGCTGCGCCAGTCTGAAGCCAGCAGTCAGGAACTTCTTCCTCCAGGTCTCCCACATGGGGGCAGGGTCCCAAGGCCTTGGGCCTTCCTCGACGGCTTTCCAAGGCCACAAGCAGGGAGCTGGATAGGAAGTAGACCAGCCAGGATTAGAACCAGCGCCCATAGAGGATCCTGGTACATGCAAGGTGAGGACTTTAGTCAGTAGGCTACTGTGCTGGGCCCCCTCTCTGTAATTCTTTCAAAATAAATATATAAATCATAAAACCAAAGGGTGTGTATTTGGTGCAACAGTGGAGGTATTACTTGGATCCTGCATTCCATAACTCCGTGCCTGGTTCCAGTCCTGGCCCCTACATTTCTGATCCACCTGCCTGGTTATCACACCCTGGGAGGCAGCAGACGTGGCCCAAGTGCTTGGGTCCCTACCACCCATGTGGGACACCCAGCTGGAGTTCTGAGCCTTTAGCTTCCGTCTGGCCCAGCACTGGCTATTGTGGACACTTTGGGAGTGAGCCAACAGGTGGAAGAGTCTCTCTCTCTCTCTCTCTATTGGTTTCTCTGTGTTTGTCTCAAATAAAGTAAAAGTAAATACAAATTTTAAAAAAGACAAAGCAATCAGCTGTGTCATGGATTGAGCACGATCTGTTTTCCCAAAACTTAGGCAGCTGTTTAGAAGCCCTGGAGTCTTAAAGGTACAGATGGCCAGATCAAGGGCAAATGCTTGATCTAGCAACGGTGCCCACGAGGCGAGGCTGAAGAGGGGTCTGTGTGTTGTTGGCACTGTGTCCTCAGAGGGCAGCTCCTGAGAGAAGCTTGTGACTTTGCGCTCAGGGGCAGCCCAGGTGCTCTGCCCCTCCTGCTTCCCCTGTAACTGTGGCAGCCATGCCCACCATAAGCAGCTGCTGCCAGGTGCCAGACCACAGGACCTCCTGAACCTGTCACTTCACACCGTGAGATGCCATCCAACTTTCTCCCCAGGGGAATGCTTCCCAGGGATTTCCGTGAAGGTGATGGAAAGCAGACAGATCCAGGGAGGGGCGTGCAGAAGGTTGATTGGATTCTGGAGAGCCAGGGTCCTCCTGGGCCTGGGGGAGCATGCAAGAGACCAGAGAAGGGCAGGGTGCAATATGGGACCACAAGAGCACAGGGGAGCAAAGGTCTTAAGAATGTTGCCTGTGTCTTGTAGCAGCGAAAGAACACAGTCCAATTCTCATGCCTGAGGCTGCAGCCCCCACCCAGTTCCCTGCTCTGCGCACCTGCTGTTCCTACAATGACTTCAAGGCTGTATCATTTTTGGCAGGGAGGGGTCTAGTTGTTTCCTCCTTGCTCTTCTGCATGTCCGACTAGCTAACCTGCTGGCTCCAGAGCTGCCCCCAGGATCCCACACCCAGTTCTAAGAGAGCTGGGAGATGGCCAGAGGCCCCACCCACTTGCTGTGCACCTGTTCTCAATACTCATGTAGGTGGGTGGTGAGCTGCCTCTGAGGACAGGGTGCAATGGAGGATGGCAGCTGGTACTTGCAATGCAAATGAACCAAGTGCTATGTGCTTTCTGTCCACTGTGTGATTGAACAAAGCCTTTCTGGGGCTTTTGTGCTTTCTGCCTTTTCGGTGAAGGACTTGAAGCTTGGAGAGACAGCAGGGCAACTGGGACACAGTGGCTCCAAGCTCCTGGCACCTCTGCTCACAGGGGTCCCTGGCACCCCAAGCATGTGCTGTAGGATACAGCTGTCCCGGACAGCTGGGCCTTCCTGTGGGTGGTGAGGATCCTGAGCCCAGGCTAAGGTGTTTACCTGTGTTCCAGGAAAGCCTGAGTCTTCCGACGTGACTCACATGTAACAGGAAGTACTGTGTGAGCCAGTTATGGGAACTCAAGAACAGGGAAAGAGCCTGAAACGGGAGCAGTCCAGATCTGGACCTGGAGCTGCTGATAAGAAGTCGAGACTTCAGAGTTGAACAGGCAGTGTATTATGCACCTTTATCTTCATGAAGGAGCTTTATCTTCCCAACATCCCCAGGCCACGGGTCCCATCCCCAGATGTTTCAACAGAAGCGAAGCAGCTCAGAGACAGTGCAAACCAGAGCAGGAGTTAAACCAAAGGGCTGGACTCCCTGGGTAGGGTTCTGGGACCAGTCCCATGGCTATGCCTTTGACCAGTAAAGGTATCTCCCTTTCTGTCCTCTAGAGTTCTTTCCCCTTTGGTTTTTTTTTTTTTTTTTAGGTATATGTGAATTGCCTGTGGCAAAGGAAGTTCACCCCGGGTCACACAGAGACTCACCCCTTTGAGTAGCGAGTTTCTGTTACTTCTAACCAAGAGCTCTGATTGGATAATGGACACTTCCTGGGTGAGTGGGTAGACCTGGAAGGGAGCATAGACAAAAGCATCAGTGGGCTTGGTTGTGCTGTGAATGGACGAGGGTGTCATTTGCATTCATTGTGTTCAGTGAATGAAAAGTCAACCAACTATCTACTTGTGAGATCTGTGCTCTTTTCTGATGTGTGTTATAACTTCAATAGGAGGAATCCTGGGGGGGCGAGGAGGATCTGGCCCAGTGATCAAAACACCTCTGTGCCATATCCTGTACCCCAGTATGTGGGTTCAGGTCCCAACTTCAACTTGCAGTTCCAGCTTCCTGCTAATGCCAATCCAGTGGCTGTGTCACTGCCACTCAAATGGCGGACCAGGACGGAGTTTTTGTCTCTTGGCTTTGGGCTGGCCATGTCTCAGCTGTTACAGGCATTTGGGGAGTAAACGAGTGGGTGGGCGTACTTTTTTTTTTTTTTAAAGATTTATTCATTTTTATGTGACAGGTAGATTTTACAGAGAGGAGAGACAAAAGAGAGAGGTCTACCATCTGCTATTTCATTCCCCAAATGGCTGCAATGGTTGTAACTGAGCCAAACAGAATCTGGGAGTCAGAAGCTTCCTCCAGGTCTCCCACCCAGGTGCAGGGTCCCAAGAACTTGGGCCATCCTCCATCCATTGCTTTCCCAGGCAATAAGTAGGGAGCTGATAGGAAGTGGAATAGCTGGGACACGAATCAGTGCCCATACAGTATGCCAGTGCTGTAGGTGGAAGATTAATGTGCTACACCACCACGTCAGCTCCATTTCTCTCTCTCTCTCTCTCTCTCTCTCTCTCTCTCTCTCTTTTTTATTGGAAAGACAGATACACATAGAGGAGGAGAGAGAGAGGAAGATCCACTCATGGATTCACTCCCCAAGTGACTGCGATTGCCAGAGCTGAGTCAACCTGAAGCCAGAAACTAGTTCCTTCCAGTTCTCCCATGCAGGTGCAGGGTCTCAAGGCTTTGGGCTGTCCTGGACTGCTTTCCCAAGCCACAAGCAGGAAGCTGGATAGGAAGTGGGGCCACCAGGATTAGAACCAGCACCCATATGGGATCCCGGTGTGTGCAAGGTGAGGACTTTGGCCACTAGGCTACTTTGCCAGACCCCTCTCTCGTGTTCTTAAATAACCAAAACAAAACAAACAAAATGCAGTGGAACATAGTGTTTCCATTTTTTAAGTTAAAAAAAAAAAGAATAAGACTGAATAGGATAATAAATATTATATCAAGAAATATCCTGAGGATTAAATGAGGAGATGACATTAGCAAATATTAGCTCGAGGCTGGCATTTGCACAGTGGTTAGGATGCCACTGGGATGTCTCATGTCATATCAGAGGGCCTAGCTTGAATCTTGGTTCTATTTCCAATTCCGGTTTCCTGTTAATGCTGC